ACCAGCAAGGAACTTACTGCCCCCAGAACTACTCGTTCAATAACTACACTTCTGGCTCTCCTGGAAGCCCTTACAACCACACTGCGGAGGCACGTTTGGGGGTATGCATGCTGCTGTATGTGGCAGATTTAGAGCAGGGTTGTCAACAGCCAAAGAACGATAGGTGTCCTGAGTCGTAGGATTTGTTTTTTTGTGCATCTGCAATAAAAGCGAGTAACTTTCACTCCCAACGTTTGGCATTTTGGGGTTACCTTTCAGAGTAATGGCTTGCATCGGACGTCCAGTTGAATTTAACTCAATTTTTTTTCTGGGCAGTAGATGTTCAGTACGTGTTTTGGTCTGACTACATGAAATGCCTTAACTGCGGGAGTGGAAATAATTTGCTTCTGTTTCACTGCCATTGTATATTTAAATTGCATTACTTACGCTGCATAGCGTTACTACTATAATTACCTTTCTGTTATCTGGGGACAATGAGCTTTTTTTAAAATTATGGTATGCCGTGTTAAGTTTGCTGATGTTTGTAATGATGCATTGGTTTGTGCACTCAATTAAAAATGTTCATGTAAGAAGTGATGGTTTGCACATATGCTAAGTTTACCTTTATAATAGACTACACAACTGATAGTGAGATGGAACAGACGATAACAAATACTAAAGATGTAAATGAAAGGATTGATTTAAAAGAATATCACCTTGAAATGTGGCAAATTCATTGAATTGTGGCTTGAGCATTGGGCCAAATTTTTGCATGGCTGTTGTCATGGCTGTCGTTTGCCGATTTTTACTTGTTTTGTTTTAAACATGCTGCAGTTTGGCAATGCGCGTCCCACCACACCGATGAGTGGACCGGGCACCTGTGCCCCCCACAACAACCCATGCCCCATGGGGGGCTCAGCTGCCAACCGCGTGATGATGGTGTACAACATGAACCCCAGCGTGATGAACTGCAGCCGCCTCTTCAACCTCGTCTGTCTGTATGGCAATGTTGAGAAGGTTAGAGGCACAACTTTGTAGTCGTTAGTATCGTTGTAACAAGCTGTGTCATTTTGGCTTCGTGTGACAGTTATTCAATTTGGCTGCATTCCATTGATTCCACTAGCATGCATGGAATTTGTCACGACGATCTAAGACTAATTTTTGAGATCATTTCTGTCTCTGCCAGCATTATAATTTCATAATCTTTTGCCAAGAAAGTCATCAGATTCTATTTATTTTTATTAGTATGGATAGCATTTGTCACATGATGATAATCATAATTTTGATCATTGATATTATTGCTGGAATTGCATTAATGATTTCATATTTTAGCCAGAAAGTCATTTACTAAGCCCATGTAGTTAAAGTGGAAATGGATTGAGTTATTTTTGGTCTGAAGGTGTTCTGAATTGATATCTTGAAACTGTATGGATTAAAGTAAAACCTCAAATGTAATATAACTGTGCCAGGAAATTGACTGCAGGATAGTGTAGTATCCCTGTCTCAGGCTTGCAGTGTAAAAGGTTGCAAATTGTAGTGTTATGCGTGTGACTGCTGCAGATCAAGTTTCTGAAGAGCAAGCCTGGCGTCGGGATGATTCAAATGGCCGATGCAGCTTCAGTGGATCGTGCCGTTGCAAACCTCAACACGGCACAGCTGTTTGGCCAAAAGCTCAGCCTCTCGTACGTACAGTTGTTTAATTATCTGTACATGTTCCTGTTGGTGTAAAAGGTGTCGTTTACTGTTATATTTGTGGGAAGCTGATGTCCTATGTTGGCTAATGCTAGCCAGTCCCTACAAGATTTTCCCTTTGCAGAAAATGGCGTGTTAAACTGCGCTCCTCTGCAAGAGTAGTCCTCTCCTAACAGATAACAGATGTGTTTCTGAGCTCTTCATTGCAGTTGTATTGAAGTTGTTAAATGTCATTTTGTTCGATTTTGACTCCTCATGTATCTACTTCTCTGCTCTGACGGCAGGGTGTCGAAGCAGCAGGAGATCGTGGCAGGCCAGGCCTTTGAGCTGGAGGATGGCTCGGACAGTTTCCGTGACTTTGTGGGCTCACGCCACAACCGTTTCTCCACTCACGAGCAGGCTTCCAAGAACCGCATTCTGCCGCCGTCGGCCATCCTGCACTTCTACAGCGCCCCGCCTGAGTTTTCCGAGCAGGCTTTCATCCAGGCACGCGTCATTACGATGAACAATGAGCCAAGTTTGTTCAACGTGGCACTGCCTATCTTTGCATAACTGATTGTGCTTAATTCATATTTTTTTCTTTCAAATTCGGTTCAACTGCAGTGGTAACATGTATTGGTTCTTATTTCAGATTTGTGAAGAAACTGGCGTGAAGAAGCCAAACGCCTTCAAGCTGTTTTCATCCAAGAGTGAGTTTTTCTTACAGCATTTGCAAAACAGAAGTTAAATTAACTTGAGTAACCGTGATGGTAATGATGCTTTTGTAAAGACTGTGGTATCGCTGATAAAAACAAATGTGCCATTATCGCTGGATTAATAATCACATTGAGATATGTGCAATACTCAACTATAATATTGAGCGGAATGCCTCCTACTATGGAAGATTATGAACGTTTTCAAAAGTGCAAATGAGCATGCAGCATTACAGAGATGGTGAAATCGCCTTTAACAGTAAAAATACATATTACAATTCATTGGTGCCAAAGCATTTAAAATGGAATAAAAATGGTATGCTTGACGAGAAGCCCAATTTACTGTAACTTTATACTGGTAAGAACCTGGTTACACCAGCCCACAGGTGGATTATTGTGTCCGTCCGTCGTGCATCCAAAAATGAGAGGGGTGGGGCTGGGTGGAGAGGGCAGAGGGGGAGGAGGGGCTGGGTGGGGAGGGTGGGGAGGGTTGGGCTGGTCGGGGAGGGTGGGTCGGGGGAGGGTGGGGCTGGTCACCCCGTGGTGCCCTTATAAAACTCAACGTTTAACCTACTCACGCCGGCTTGTGCCTGCCCTCACAGTCGGGCATATTTGTGGAATACACCACGTGGTGCTGCCGTTGACCCTGGCCATTGACCGAGCAACCCAACGTTCCTACCAGCTCCCTCCGCAGGAATGTGTTTTAAGCGGGTTGCACCTGATGCTTTTTAGTGTTCCCACAAAGGCTTTTATCTGGGTTAAATCCAGAATGAGTGGCAACGCACTTTTAAGCGTGTGATTAGATTTCATTGGCTTTACACCTCAAATTAAGATGACTGTAGACATTTGAGCTAATTCTCAACTGAAAACTGATGCAGTCAAATTTACGACCTGTTAATTTTAAATTACAACGGATGAATCATTTGATGTACTCTTGAATTTCAAGTTGTGTTGTCTGAGTGTGGACTAATGTAAATAAAGCCCAATTGTCCGTTTCACACAGATCTTGCGAATACATTATTGACAGGTGAAAGGACATCCTCTGGTCTGGCGGAATGGGACAATAAAAACGATGCTACAGAGGTCGTGGCGGTGGTGAACCACCATCAGCTTAAGAATCCCAGTAAGTACTGACATATACCTGTGTGCTTTTATTTTTTTGTTTTAATCTTGATTACCCTGATTGTACAAATTGTGTTTATAGCTAATATCCACCGTTCCTTGTTAATTTATAATGGCCAATATTATTAACGTTGCCGTTTGTGGACATTGTTGCATCGTACAATTTTGGCAATTTTCATCAACCATTATATAAATTCTTTGGGAAAGCCTCAGATGGTACTGAATTGGAATGCCAAACTATTTTCTTAACGAGTGTCTCAGCTTTTTAAGGAAACCAGGGTATGCAAAGAAAATCCACTTGATGGGACAAAATAAGAAATCAATAATTTACATCTACAACCTACATACTCTGCTGTGAACTCAAGTGCGCGATTATATGCGTAGGTCTGCTCCACCATCACCTGCTTCCAAAGCGCACTGAGCCCATAGGCACGTGGCACACCATGTTAAATTACCCACGTGGTTAACATGTTTGCGTGCTTGCGTGCGCGTGTTACAGATGGGTTCTTCGCTTACACGCTGAAGCTCTGCTTCTCGTCAGCCCAGCAGGTGGCATGAAGCACCCGTGGCGGGGCAAACGCACGCGGGGACTAGAGATAGAAACCCCACCGAGTCCGCGCACCCTCCTGCACGCACGCCCCTCCCACCGCCCTCACCCGCACAGCCGTCAACTTGCACCGCCCACCGCGCACCCACAGTCCAGCCCTTAGTCCGACAAGCCGCAAACGACTTACACCCATGTCGCAAACTTGTTTCATGTTTTGATTTCCTTTTTTTGTCGTGTTTTTTGTCACGCAAAGGTGCAAAGTGCACCCGATACTGTACGATTAGGGCCACGTTGTGAGCAAAAGTTTCGCACGCAAAAGTTATTTTAAGAAAATGGTCAAGAAAGGATTTTATTTTAAGAAAGATGGTCGTTTTATTTCTTTTGACCCCCCCCCCCAGGAAAATGAATGTAAGTCTATGTTTTGGTTTGTACAGGCGGCTAATTATGTTGTGGTCTGTATGGAAAGTAACCAAATGTATAAAGGTATTTCTTTACCGCTTCACAAAATTCAAAAGAAAAGTCGTACTCAGATTTTTAATGTGATTTGATATTTAGTTACAGTATTTCATGTCGCAGTACCTGTCAATAAAGGGCTGGATTGGTTATGCAGGAAAATGTTTTGGGTAATTTTTTGTCTGTTCATGGACTGCATTGTGTTCTAATGTCAAATACTGACCCCAGCCATTTACCTCGTATACCAATAATATTTGGCTAATTGTAACATCACATGTTGGCTGGGGTAAATTCTATTAGTGTTTGCAGGGTATATACGTTGATCTGCATATTCTAAGCATATCCGGGTTAGTACATACAAGTATACATTTTTCCTGAAATGCATTTTACAGAGAAGTCACAATGAGCTAAATGCAGTTTGAAGAGAAAGTCCAACATGATTATTGTGTTAATGTGTTCGATATTGGGTATTCCAAACAAGAGGTGCAAGAAAATTGCATGTCCATAAGCAAGTCTTTTGAAGATCCTCTATTTCATGAAAGGTGTGTGGATGTTCATGAACATAAAACAGGGATGATGGTAGATGGTCAAGAGTAATGAAGGGGAGTGGCAGCCAATGAATGGGAGGCTTCTGAGAGAATATTAATTGAAGAGATGGAGCGATGAAAGCTCGTTTGGAAGCGTTAGGTGGATATTGCATCGCAGCATCGTGATAGATGGAAATGGGTTAGGAGGCCTTCATCTGGCAGTGGTGTGACCTCGGCTGATGAGGAAAACGACCCAGGAGGAGGTCTGATGAGACGTTTTTTTCCTTGAGCATGAAATGGTGAGTAGACGAACTCTAGAAGTGTTACAATTCGTGAAATTATAAAAATGCGGTGCGAGTATACAGGTGAGCCACGCATGACCTAATTGGTTCCTGGACGACGCTCGCAAGTGGAGCCGTCGTAATTGGAACCCTCATTTCCCATAGGCGCAACGCTATACATTGGACTGGGTTTCCGTGGAAACATGTGATGTTACAATTCCGTGGAAACCCAGTCCATAAAAAGACCAAAATTGACCGCGAAAATAAATGAAAACCCGAAGAAACATTTATGGTCGCTTAATATAATCTATCCCAACATTAAGTAAAAGCAAACATTTAAAAATCGTTAAGTGCTTTTGGGCATGTGCATCACATTTCCTCTTCTCAGACGTAGTGAAAGGCGATTTTTTTATTTGCAGAAAATTTACAAAAATGAAAGAGCATTGAGAAAGAGACTGCGTTCACTCTCGGCGCAGCTGCAGACTGCATACCTGTCAACCCCTTATCAGTGCCTACCTTATTACAGACCAATTCAGACATTGGTCACCCCGTGCCCTTATAAATATCAACGTTCATCCTACAAAGTCCCATCCACGAGTGAGAAATACAAACACAGTTTTTGTTTGCCCGTACTGAAACGGCTGTACGCCGTATGGACCTGAACTCAATTTCCCTGTACAAGAACACGGGTAACCCGTATGGGTCGATGGCTATGAAGACTCGGGTTCTGCATTAAATACGGCGGAAGAGCAAAGCAGCGCCGTCTGGCGACGAGTGTGAGCATGGCATGCGTGGATGCGCCGCCTATTGACTACGTCGGAAGCAGTCGTTCGGCGGTCGTCGATACGAGTACAGATCCTGACTGTGGGGGTCTTCATAACCACAAGAAAGGTCGTGAAAGCGGGGGAGGGGTCCCCTGTATTAGCAAATACAAAATTGGAAAAGGTGAGTCCTCAAGTTAAATTTTATTGCAGTTTGTAAACTGGTCAATTATGATTCGTAGCTTTCGCGACTGCAGGAATTACTCTTTGGTTCTTTCGGTAAAGTTGCGTATAAATAAAATAATAGAATACGACGTTTCGATTGCAACACAAGCAAGCAACCATCATCAGGTACGAATAAGTGAGAAAAACTTAGTAAACTTGGAAACAGGTGGGGTGTTGACTGTTTTTGTTGGCCAACTCTGTTGCATTATATTTCCAAGTTTACTATGTTTTCAAGTATGGTCAATTATGATTTACTCGGCATGCGTATTTTGAATGAATATGAACAGAAATATTTGCATATGCACAGCATCTTGTTCGTATCAAGTTAGTGTCTTGGTTTATTAAAGGGTGACATTTTTTTCCTGAACTGATACTGCGGAGGCCTTCCTAGTTCAAGGGTACACACCAAGCTGTATTGTGCACCACCAGGTATTTATGAACATACATTTGTGGAAAGACAAGTTAGTCAAAAACAAGGTACCTTGAAAGTTATAAAACGGAGGTCAAACTAAACGTGGTTTTGGAAGCACCCTAGATAATGGAATCAAGGACTTTAGGTGGTTCTTGAAAATTGTTCAGCTGAATTTAGAAGTTCAGCAGTGCTTAATGGGGTTCAGTCAGCTCATGTTTAGAGTGGAAGCCACATTGTACAGTGCCTGCAAACAACTATAATCGTATTCATGAGCATTTTATTTTCATAAGCCAGGCCACCCGTAATGATACATAAGCAAAAGCTGCAAGCATGGTTATATGCACTCGATGTGAATTATGTTGTTTCTTCTGTCGATTTAGCTGTAGACCATAAACTTCATCCACTGCACACACACAAACAAAGCAGAATGGAAGGATCAACTTGATATAAATCAGGGGGAAATGCGATTTGCAGACCTCTTTACTAAGCATTTTACACAGCAATTAAATACCCCAATTGTGTAACGATACATTTTTATATTGAAAAAGGGAGACAAAAACGGATGTGAATTCTTACAGACATTTGTCTCATACGACATGCATAGAAAATATTTGTGAAGCTCAGAGGGAGCTGAATAATGGCACAGTTCGAGGCTAACCAACTTTGTGAGAAATCTGAATAAAAGTTTGCAGCAATGGACCACACACCATCAATCATATTAGATGAAATACATGAATGTGACATTATCACTGACTTCACTAGGCTGTGCAAAAAAATGATTGAATGGAATCTGATGCCATCATACAAGCTCTCAAAAACAAGGCATTCATTACAAAAATAAAGATGGAACAGCTTCACTGAGATTGCATGAAGAAAATTCTACAATTTGCTAGAGACACCACCACCAACAAGGATATTCATTAACTAAATATATTTTCATGAAAATTGGATTTCTAAAAAAAGGCATAAACACTTTCGTAAAAAGTATTAACCATCTCAGATTTGCTGACGACAATTGTTTGAAGCAACCGATTAAAATTAATGAATAATTTTATATTAAGCAGGCGATTGTCGGGCTCAATAAAAAACACAAGAATGGTACCAAAGTAAAGTACAAGTTTTACAAACATAAATATTGTTGGAGCAACACAACTGGAATGTGAATTGGGGGAAAACATTAAACAGGTGGTTGAGAAGCAGGTTTTATTGCTTTTTTGAAAACCGTAAATTGGACAGTGTGAAGGAACAACACCCACGTGCTGGAAGCAGAAAGTAAAGAGATCACTGCTATCGTCACGATGATGAGCTCACCTCATGGAGGTTCAGGGTTATGGTTCCCGTCCCAGCTGCATCAAGTGATATAAAGATGTCTGCATCACAAAAACAATCAAGTATGAGAGCACTGAAGCCAAGCAGCCAAGGTTAATCCAGATACGTGACTTCACACAAAATACAACATTTCTAATTCGATGTGTTTTTTTCTATCATCCCAGCTCTAAGCGTTTAAAATGCACATACACAGTGGCCATGAAGGTATCATTCATCGTTTGTGACGAGAGAACATGTATTTTTGTATGTTGAACTTCGTTCGCACCGTACGTAGTCAGCCGTGCTCATCGGAGGTGTGGGGGAAGGACAACAAACTAAGCACAAAAGGCAGTTCTAAAGAAATTAGTTTTCAATCTAGATCTAAAAGTGCATATCTCTCGCTGCGAGGATGAGCGCAGTTCGCGTGATGATGGTTCATATTCCTTGGCGAGATCAGCGAGGTATTGTGGTTAATTTGTGGCAAAAACGTTGTGTGTAATGAGTGCGACCTTATGTCATGGATTCGTTCGGCAACCGGAAGCCAATGAGGCTCAGCGAGCACTGCATGGGCATGGTCAGATGTTGCAGTACCCGTCACTGCACGTGCCAGAGAATGCTGCACCCGCTGCAGGTTGGCAATGTTTTTGCCAGAACCTTCCCTAGAGCAGTGAGCATTTGACCGCCTGTATTCGAAAGACGGGGGGCGGGGGGGATTTAAGAAACTCGTCCGTTGTTTGAACTGTCGAGCTGGGCGATCAAATCGAGTCGGATAGCCTCTGGATTGAAAGTTCGGTGTGCGAACCATTAAGCCGCATCCCCGGCATAGATTTTATAATATCACTGTAAGCTCCCTCATACCCGCCCCCCCAAAACCCCCAAAACGCTTACTGAAGGCAGTGTACATCTTGGCAAGGAGGCAGACGAAACTGTCGAAGCTTATGGTGAGGTTGGGCTCGGAAAAGCGCATCATGATCAGCCGTTGCATCAGCTTGCCCACCTTGAATCCTGCCAGGAGGTAGGAAAGCCAATGAGGGATGTGCACAACTCCGGATGATACTGTTACGCAGAGATGCATTTCACCCTGTTAACTCCAGGTGAGCAAATGGGAAGTCGTTTCCGCAGCCCGGCACGCAGCACCGATCACAACTCTTGTTGTCGCAGCGGCTACAAGTTAGTGTGCCGTGCTCCAGTCGACCAGCGACCCGGCAAATCTAGAATTCGGTGAGAAATGAAGCCCTGCTTTTAGGAAAACTGTGGCAACTAACGCTTGTGTGCATCTAGGAAGCACAATGACCGAGGACGGTGCATGTCATATTGATATCGGGCAAAGGAAGCCTCAACCACAGGTTTGTTTGGTGATCCGAGTTCCACTCGACATATATGAATTGTTGGAGCCTGAGGAGACAGGATCAAAGAGAGATGAGTGGTAGCAGTTGTAACCTGGCTCAGAAGGATCCTGGGAGTATTGAGACTACAACAGCTAAGAAATGAATCCTTAAGGAAAAGGGCTGGATCGGAAGCAGACTTTTGTGCAAATTTTCAAAAAAGACAAACTTCTTTGGTTGGGATATATGGAAATAACAGAAGCCAAACACATTAGAGTCAGTGGCCACGTGGAATGAACGAGATGTTGAGGTCCATGCAAGAGATGGCATCGAGGAGGAGGAGGATGACTTAACAGAGAGATAAAGACCTACAGGAAGTGATCGCCACGACCATAAAAAGGAAGCAGTGGAAGAAGTTTATCCAGCTTCATCGTCGACCACTGTGTGACGACGAAGAGAAGAGAAAATAAAATGACTAATGAGGTTTGTTGCTTATCCAGGAAAGTATACTCTTTGGTTCTATTCGGTAAAGTCACGTAGGTAAAATAAAACAACAAAATCACGTGACTTTACCGAATAGAACCAAAGAGTATGGATCCTTGCAGTCACGAAAGCTTCAAATCTAGAATATCCAGGAAAGCCTCGCCGAGGCTTAGGACATTTTCAGGAGGGTCCTGCTTTGGGACGTTTAGCACTCAGAGAGTGGCGGCGAAGGTGAAGACCCAAATGAAGATGGTGGCATATCGTAGGAGCAAATCATGATGGTGGGAGTTGACTTTACAACTACGGGATCTCGCAGAAGGAAGGAAGCAGTGGTGAGGTGCAGTCGTACCAATATAATTGGTCATGATGCCTTCCTGTCCAACGAAGAGAGACTTACAGAAGCCATCCTTTGTGGAGGGGTTTGGTGGATTGACGGCACAGTCAAACTAAAACTCAACTGTAAGAATAGGTTGCATCCTTTCTGGCATTAAAACAGGTGTTAAGATATTAAAACACCAAACAGACTGGTGTGGACCAATCAGTTTCAGACAATGCATATAATATCAGAGCATGTTTCTTGTTTTCATGTTTGTCACAAGTACGTGTGGTTAATGCAGACAGGATTCCTTGAAAAAAGGATTCTGTTTGGTGTTTTTTTTATATTTTAACACAACTGTTTTATTGCCAGAAAGGGTAACACCTCTTGTTATATTTTGATACTGGCAAGAATGGTCCCATATTAAAACTAAACTATATATTTATTATTTTGCTATGTGAGGCCCACTGAGCTATGTAGCTCTTTTTCAGAAGTTACCTGGTCACAAATGATAGCGCAATGAAGTGGCGTATCGTGTGCAAATGTTTCGCAGCCAAATACTCTAAAATAAATGTTTATAAACGTGGAGGGAAAAATCCACGTGACCACGGGGAGAGTGACATGCAAACTCCAAGTCTACCGGCGTCAGGGTAGGGATTAACCCGATGACCTGAATACCAGGCGAGGTAGTTGACATCTCTCCACCGTGGCGCCCCAGACATTTGCAGTGCGGTAAGTGTCAAGCATTGGGCTAGATGTCTCACTTGAATGCTCCAAAGCCATGGGAAGTTCCGTACTGCTGAGGGTACCCGACTTATCGACATCGCACATCTTGTAGGTCTTCTGTTGACACAGATACAGAGGGCTTTACGAAATCATGAACAGAGCATCAAATACAAACCCCTGTACAAAATGATTTTATAGAGAAAGGGGCAGCCGGGCATAGGCCGAGAAGAAGAGAACGGTGTTCAATCTGCATATGTCTCCTCTCTCATGTCACTCTACTCCCCTTCTATGTTCTAGGATAAAAACAAGTGTATCCAGTAATCCAAGTTAAGTGAAAGTGTCTCCCTCCTCAAACGAGCAATGTGGGGCACTCATCTCGATTGGTGGAACTTCATTATTACCGTGGCGTACACGGGTGAATGAAGTTACAATTTGTTTTTGGGCTGCCACGAACAGTATATTACTTTATCTTGAGAAAGAGTGAAACAATATATTATATACATATTACTTGCCAGAGTCATTTTGATGAATTCCCAGACGAGAAGAAATTCTTCATATCCCAGCTGTCCAGAGTTGTCAATCTGGCCGTATTACTTGTAAGGATCAAACAGAGGAGAAATTAATCTGTAATTATCCAGAAACACCTTATTCATGAAATGGCAGCTTCTTCTACATCAGTGTTCTTCACTCATGTTCAGAGGGCCGCCACACCGCCTGCCAGGGGCTGTTGTTGTCGCTCGTTGTGTCTTGTCGGGGCCGCACCGTCAGGGGACGCACTAAAGGCCACTAGGTGCCCCCGGTGTTTGACGCATTTGGGTCTTCCACTGCCCCATAAAAATTCTACATCACAGTGTCTGTCCGTCTGTTACCACTGACCAATCGCAACCCTCGCCGATCGGTCCTATATCACCGACGGTCACGTAATGCACGCTTTGCCGGATTAACATTTCCCGTCAAACGCTGGACTTAATGCAATGTAAAGAGTTGATTTGACAGCTGCGTATGCTAGGTGTGAAATGTAAGATGTTTATTTGGGTGTGTGTGGTGCATGGTGAGTTTCAATTTTATTTTGTTTCACCAGGTGACAACTCCAAGAGACCAGCAAGATTCACCTGGGGGCATTAGTCTGCCAGGATGGGGCGATGATTGCTATGCAATCCCCAAACGATGATTGCTATGCAATCCCCAAACGATGATTGCTATGTAATCCCCAAACGATGATTGCTATGTAATCCCCAAACGATGATTGCTATGTAATCCCCAAACGATGATTGCTATGTAATCCCCAAACGATGATTGCTATGTAATCCCCAAACGATGATTGCTATGTAATCCCCAAACGATGATTGCTATGTAATCCCCAAACGATGATTGCTATGTAATCCCCAAACGATGATTGCTATGCAATCCCCAAACGATGATTGCTATGTAATCCCCAAACGATGATTGCTATGTAATCCCCAAACGATGATTGCTATGTAATCCCCAAACGATGATTGCAATGTATAATCCCAATTGACTAGCAATCATTTGGACCGTCACACCGGCACACAGTGGCCTACTCTTGCGAATGACATCAGGGGATCCTCAACGTCCACTGTGAAGGAAACAGCATGGAAGTATTACCATGGTTATCAGAATCAGACGTTTATTATCCGAGTAAATTACCCATTGAGCTATACAGCTCTTATCCACGTGCGGCTCAGCCAGCAGACAGACACGGCTCTCAGAGTTAGTAAACACGATAAAAAAAATATCAAGTAAATAAAACCAGATCATCTCACAAAACAATTACGTACTTTCGCATTTGTATTGTTTCGATCTCAATAATGTCTGTTTAAAAGAGTAGAGAGATGGCAGAGTGGTGATTTTCAGAGGAGAGACGAGTTAGTTCCAAACCTTTGGAGCAGCTACACATAACGTATTATTCAGGGCAGACGCTGGATGTAAACCGTGAACCTCTTGCAACAAGCGGGCGAATGCGCTACCGCTGGGCCATGTCACCACCCACGTGGCGAGGGTCAGGTGAGTTGATGACTGGTGAGGTAGTGAATGTCGGACGATGGTCAGTGTCACGTGGGTTATCACGTCAGTTCGTCTATATGATAGGCTCCCCTTGAGTCTGCCTTTTTTATGCCATCTGGTGAGAATTCATGAACATTGGAAGTCTCTCTCACTCGGGTTGGCCACGCCAACGAGAGCTGCTAACCCGAGGGTAAAGGATACGTCGAACAGAGCGACCAAGACGCGGCAGCTCTCCATGGAGAACTTGTCGACCACCACCGTCGTGTCTGTGATGCCTGCCCACACACAACAAATACGAGGATGAAGCTCTCCCCCTACAGCCTTAACAAACTGTTGTTGGGGTAGGTGCTTTTCGCAAGCATCTATCAAGGCCGGCAGGGCACCACAAAAGGGTGGTGGTGGTCAAAACAACGATTGGCCGCCTTTGTCTCCCCAGTGCTGATGTTTACACACCGCACCAGGTACTTGTTTAAGGCTGAGTCCACCTAGGAGAGGCCCAGGACCAGCTGAAATTTTCATCAATGGCCATGGCCGTGAGCGGGCATCGAACTCGCGTGTCCGGTTTCGTAGCAGTGTTGCTTACAGAGACACTGCATAGTACAACGTGTGCGAACACATAGCATCAACATCATTCTCGCCTTTGTATGAACTTCAATCGGAGCATCTCAAAAACGTCTTTTTATCGCTGGGATTCGTGCCCAGCAGCTCTGGAAGCTGTCGACTCCACAGGCAGCTTCCGTGATTCCTCTTGGGGCTTCGTCTGTCATCTGTTGCAGTTTAACTTCACAAAGCTCGATTTGGCCCCCTGCCTCTCCCTCCCCACCCAGGGATGGACAGACTTACATTTTTGAATTTCAAGAGTGATGAGCGCCTGAAGTTTGTCTGCCTTGATGAGTTTGTCCTGTGGACAAATAAAGAAACGCAGTTCCAAATTACATTACTTAAGTAAAAAACAAATACAGGGTGATCCATTTATAAGATACCACACTCATTTCCAATTACACTCTTTCTCGCTTCTCCGCTGACAAGAGCGCATTGCGATTGGTGGGTGAGAGAACACATGGTTGCTTGATCATTCTTCCCTATTGTTTCAGTGGGGTATCTATAAATGGATAACGCCAGATTTTCGTTTTTCATCAATCCACTGCTGGAGGAAGTCTCCCCCGTGCTGTGTTGGCCACGGGGTTGTTTGACTCACTACGTTACCATGCTGGTTAGCGTGGGGGTAGTGAAGGGGGTTGCGGGAACAGCTCACTTGTCCCTTACCGCTGATGTTGAGAGTGGCTGGAAATCAAACTATGGTTGCAGGGTTTCATATCGGAGTTCAGTAATAGAACGTGGCACGGTTCTCCTCCAAACAAATTGATGTACAATTTACATTCTTGCGCTATCAATGGAGGACATTGGTCGAGTGGCTTGTAGGAGTTCAGCAAATGCTCTAACTCACGATGTATGCATTGAATCACACGTGGAAGAATCAGTGTGTTTTTATTTGTAAAATGTATCTAATGGGTTCAACTTCTTGGTTCTTTCGGTAAAGTCACGTAGAAGGGAAATAATCAAATAATAAAAATAAAACATTCTTTCGGTAAAGTCACGTAGAAGGGAAATAATAAAGTAATAAAAATAAATCATAATAAAATAAAGATTGTTTTATTTTTACAAAGGTAATAATAAATTAATTATAATGGTTTATTTTATTATTTCCCTTCTACGTGACTTTACCGAAAGAACCAAGAAGATGAATCCCTGCAGTCACGAAAGCTTTAAATCGAAATTTAATGGGTTCAAGTGAACCCCCGGCAGTCATGGGTGGCTGATTGTTCATTTTGTATTTTCCATGCACGTGCAAGTTTTGGGCAGCAGAGGGCAGCGCAGAGAAATACATTGCTGTACCTTTTAATGGTTCCCTCCCCACCTTCACCAACCCGCATTGACCGGTGTGGTGAAGTATGACTTAATAACCTCCTCTGTATACGGAGGCTGAAGGGTCGCTATGAATTGGGGTACCTTGCCAGCCACCTGTAGGAAGGACTCCTCCATATCAAAGTTCTCTGCGGGAGGAGGGCTGACCTGCCAAACATGGAAAGTGTTGACATTAATAAAACCCTCTGACTTTCCATACGCGGAAAATATGGCGTTACTTCCAACTGACTTGCTAAACGTAGAAAATATCGCCTGACTACCACCTAACTTGCCAAGCATGGGAAATGTGGCCTTAATACGATAGATACTGTTGTTCTACAACATTTTTAATTAAAAAAGACATTTATGCACAAAAGCATGCAATGTTTTGTCCTCTTCTTAAGTAGTATACTTTTTATGGCAGGACGTCGATTTTTATCCATCTTATCAGATTTACAAATAAATTCTGTTCAAATAAACGACACTCATGTGGATAAAACAAAGTTAATTGGAAAACCGCTACATAGGATTGAATTGTGCATGCAACATAAATCAAATGACAGCTTACCTTTGGCACGGTGAGTGGTTTAGGCCTGTTTGGTAAAAGAAGGAAAATTACTTCTTATTTCGGATTGTCTTGTAATTGAAATCACCGTGATCATTTAGTATTAGAATACACGGATTATTATACATTGATGTGGGGCAGGATAGCTGGGAAGCCTTCAGTCCCAGCCCAGCCAAAAGGAATTGAGTTACAGAAATAATGAAGGCATAGAAAAATTGTCACATGTAGGTACATCCGTCCAGTCGGCTGTGACAGGCGTACGCGAATACTGTTGAAGAATGCAAGAAGTAGCTCTGTTGTTAATCCACTTCTGAATGAAGGCCGTGGCATTTCGGCCATGGGGGTTATTTGACCATATCTCTCCTCACTGGTAAGTACACGTTGGCAAAGGTGTGGAGCAGAGACATGGGTGCATAGAATTACTTTCAGAGTTAAAGGTGGATCCCTGGTATTGCAAGCTTACCTCACTTATAGATAAAGGGCCTCCACTCGCAGTGACCATTGAGAGCTCCTCTAGAGGATATTTGGCCTACTCTTTCACGTTGGACAGATATCTTGGAAGCAGTGGGAGTAACCACACTTTACCTCACCACATTTGATTTTCCAGTCGACGAACTATGGGAGAGGCTGGTGACCATGACATAAGAAGTTTAACTTTTGACATATGAAGAGATGGCCAGGTGGCTTAAGGTCAGCTCACTGAGCTGGCTTCCACTGAGAATATGGGTTCGAATCCAGGCAGCGGTATGTGATTGCTTCGCGTTCTCAAGAGGGTGAATAGTATTTGTCCTATGTTTGCATGCTGGCCATGCATTTTGGAAGACTGACTGTGGTGTGCCCACTTTTACTTTTAGTCCGATTCAATGGCATTCCTAGCGCTGAGTTTACTATCAACGGAACTGACACTGAATTTTAAAAGCGGTCTGAACACCGGGGCCTGTTGAGGGCTACCACTGAGTCCGCAGCCAGGCAGTTGTGCCATAGTAGCACTCACCCCTGGTGCTGCTGAGCCTTCTCCATGAAGATGCGCAGCAGGAACTGCGCCTCCTGGCCCGCCGACTCGGTGCAGGGAATGATGATGTAGTTGCCAGGCGGAAGAGTCATCCGCATGGTCACCTCCCTGCGCGCGATGAACTCTGGGCTCTCGACCAAGGGCTTCTCCTTGCGCAACTGCTGTGGGGTCAGCTTCTTGCCGGGCACCACCGCCTATGCAATCGATACGGATACACGGATGTATTCATTAGTTTATGGCCATTACTCAATCCAATACGGGATGAAAGCCTCCCCATGCCATGTCGTTCGTGGAGGTTGTTTAGTTATATTTCTCACTCTGCTTGACAGTGTGTATTGGTGAAGGCAAACTCTCAGGACCAGTCACTGATATTAGCAGTGACAGGAAATTGAGCCCAGGTCGTCTGCTTTATAGCGCAGTGCACCATCTTACCACTATAAATATAATATGGATTTACATAGCGTCTAAATGTGACCACATCTCAAAACGCCGTGCAGGAACAAGCAGAATACTCGACCTAGGGGAGGCCCAAGACCGGTTCAGATCAACGTCATTGGTATTGACCGTGAGTGGGAATCGAACCCGGCGACCCGTGTTCGAAGGGCAGCGTGCTGATCGCTACACTCCATACGCACGGGCGTGCAATGTGTCCAGCCAGTAGCATGCATGAAGCGAACAACAATCGATTCTTACGCACGCGGTTCAACATTTGTAATGTGCGCTTAAGCATTGACGTGAAATAATCAATGAATGCGACAGTTCTGCTCTTTGTGGAATGACTGCGGAAGGGTGGAAGGGGCAATGGGGGTGGCGGTTGCTCCCACACCTTGTAAATGTAAATGCCGATGGGGACGAAGTCGATTCCAATTTTGCGGAACTTCCTGCGGTGTTTCTGCGTGAGCGACAGGAGGAAGTGGCAGCCATGGCAGACGTCCATGACGTTATCCTCCTCCAACAGCGTGAGGAAGAACTGGTAGTTCAGTGGAAATTCTTTGAAAACAAAAATAAGAGGCATTAAAATAAACCAAAAATGCACGGAAAAATGTGTACGTCTTAAGCTTAGATTTTCAAAATCCAATCTATTGATAGAGATTATTGAATTGAACGAAGACATTATTAGGTTAGGGGGAGCTTTTTCATCATATTTGATTGTATGCTCTCTAATTACAGTGCGGCCGTAATTGGGTTGGGTGATGAGACCAGCTCACGCGCAGGATTGTGGCTTTTACAGCATTCGCTGTAGTGGATAGACAACGGCCGACGAAGATGATGTTGGAAGAAGGTGCTGTGAGCTGCTCGGGATCTCACCGCGGTGCCGGCGACTGCCGCCGGCGTTGAGGCCCTTGAGCCACATCGAGTTGTGCAACTCGCAGATCCACAAGTTCTTCCTGTGCTCTATCTCCACCTCCGAGCCCTGGTGACAGATCTCCACCAGGTGGAAGTTCTTCCTGAAGTCCTTGTCTGAAATCCTGCCATTCGTTGCAGTGCACAGTCACGTATGCGGTAGTGGCATCATTCTGAATGTGTTTATTTGGGCAATTCCGCAGTGACGCGCATATTTCACTTGTTAATAACAATGCTGGTGGAAATACCTCCACTGCGCAGAAGTCTAGTGAGCTCCTCATGGAAGAGGTGGTCATACCCACACTTAACCCGAACTCACACACGACCTGCCGATTGACTGTGGTATACCCATTCATACTGCTTTGGTGGACAGAGGATGAGAATATATAATATTTAATATACTTGTAAGAGAATTCCAGTCGAATAATGGAATTATCAGTTATTATTAAGAAACCTATACTATGCAAAGAATCATTTAGGATGGTGGTCACAGTATATATCTTATGTGGGAAGACACATGGTAAAGCGTTGTGTGTTTTTATTATTATTTTCTGCAACGAAGTTTAATAATTATTTTGTAATATGCATTATGTCGTTTTAAGTCAGGACCCATGTCTTCTAGAAAGGTTCCTTGCCTCCAAACATCTGGTAGTTTATTATAATTGGTTCAAACATGCCTTACTCTTGCAATCAGACACAGCATCATGTATGCTAATAGCATCCTATAACGCTGTACATTAATTATATTATGACCCTATCCCATACACAGCCACTTTCCAAGCAAATGAAAACCCTACCACCAAGAAAAATAAAAAAATAAACAAATGAAGAAATGGTACTAAAACAAAGACACAAACAACAACAACAACAACAAAAATCCATGAGGTCTACACATCTGCGACCACAAACCCAACTTCCCAACCAAGCCAGGAAATCTTCACAGGAGGGGTGGTGGAGTGGCAAAGAGTTACGACTCATTGATATCAATCGGTCGAATGTGAAAAAAGTGAATTACGGTATTACATAAAGGCACTCAATGCATGGTGGACTCACCCAGGGTACTTACCAAAATTCTCCATCCTCCGCCCTCACGTGCAGACGTTTCTGGTCCTCCTCCGGCACCTCGTTCCACGTCGTGGACCTGAGGGAAATGTGGAAGCGGCAGAGCTGTTTGTGAACTAAATAAGCCCCGTGCAGACTTTGTGCTGAATGGAGACCAACACGATTGGAACAGACGCCCTGATCCAAGAAGTTGTAACTTTCGACACATACGCTTTGGTTCTATTCGGTAAAATCACGTAGGTAAAAAATAAAACAACAAAAATAAAACAACTAAAATCACGACGTTTCGGCCACAACACAAGTGGCCTTCTTTAGGTGAAGGGACAGAACAGTTCTGTTCCTTCACCTTCACCTGAAGAAGGCCACTTGTGTTGTGGCCGAAACGTCGTGATTTTTGTTATTTTATTTTTTACCTACGTGACTTTACCGAATAGAACCAAAGAGTATGGATATTTGCAGTCACGAAAGCTTAAAATCTAGAAGTTTCGACACATAGTTGCCTTGGTAGATTATAAGTCAGCTTGATTACAACTCCCCCCCTTTTGTATTAACAGATTGTTGCCTAGTTTAAAATGCATGTCATTAAGAAAAATAATACATTCTCATCTCCTGCACAGCAGTGCCACCCTCCACGCCAGAGAATGGCCCACGGTGGGGGATATGGTAGAGCTCCCTCTGAGATTCCGTCACGTGACCTCTGCCTCACATGGTAGGGGGTGGCAGCACTTTTCAAAACTGCACATCGTCAAATTTGTTACATGACGGTCACGTTTTAAATTCTCATAGCTGGAATTCAGTCGTGGATTATGTTTTTTTCGTAATACTCACAACTGGATACAAGCTGAATTCAGTAAAAAAAACCCCGACAGTTTGTCTTGTGACCATCTATAACAGGGCATGTGGTAAGGGCTATCGGCTACTGTGGATGAGTGGCAATTAAAGTGATCTCTCAGAAGCGGCCAACTCTCTGTACACTCGAGAACTCAGTGTAACCACACGTGTTCGAAACCCGGATCCAAACCGAGAATCTTGGCAGTGCCGGCTCAGCGCTCTGACTTGTGAGCCACCCGAGCCGGCTCGGAAGCGACGTTTCATTTAGTTGCAGCGACAGCGCTCACCCATCACTCCACGGTCCCGTGTACTCCACCTTGCCATAGGGGTTCCGGACTCGTATCAACTGAACTGTCTTCCCCGGGAATTTGAGCTGGGCCACAAGAATGACACAAGAGGCAACGGGCAGTGAGAGTAATGCCAAAAGGTAAACGGGTGAAGGTACAGCCCTGCGGTTTGCGGGCTCACACCACTGCTGGCGGGCAGGGCCTTCACTCGAGGGAGGGCACCCATATTATACCCCACCTCATACAACCTAACGATCAACTGGTGGTGTATACATCTGATAGGTAGACAGAGGCGAGGGTTATTGCATAAATGTGCCCATTGTTTGAATTGGCACGTCTGGAGATGCAATCGACGTGCCGACTGCTGGACTGCAAGTCCTTGATGCAGAGCATCACACGATGGCAGCATCCCACCCCCCCACCGATTGTGATGTAATTTCATGGCAAATGGGTAAATATTCCAAGTCATTGGGAAAAAATGGGATTCATTATCAACGTATCATCATAATAATAATAATCATCATTTAATTTAGCAATGACCGAATGTGAGGTTCAATGAAGAACATTGGCTTTTCATAATTTAAATTAAATGTAAATGCTGTAAAAATATACTCAAACATTTTATGCTCATGTAAAACGCCTGGAAATTAAAGTGGATAATAATGTGCAAAAGAGTTGGGACGATGCATTGCTTGAACGATGAATAGTGACGATGTTCAAGCTCATGATGCATTCTTCCAATTGTATTGAATAGGAATCGTTTTAAACATGTTACACAGCCACAAGAGGCATTAGTGGTGTCAAGTGGTGGCAAGCCATAGCGATGGATTTCACCTGTAGATGCCCGGCGTATTTTCACGGGAGACGTAATTTCTAATTGCTCAATTTGGTTCTCATAATTGTTTTTAAAATTACCGGCGAAATTAATCAATAAAAACGGCACGTTAAACACTTGCGCTTGGACACGAGACGATTTCATGTGTTTGGATATGTCGGGTGGTGGAGGGTCTTATGACACAACCTCGGCCAGGTCATTAGGAGGCCTAACCGAACAATGTATTGTAAATTATAAAATTGGCTGTAAAACCCACACAATACATTTAAAGCGTACACAAACATGGATTTTCATGGTCTAAATAACTCCACAAGCAAGCAATGGACATCACCAATTTAGCCTTCACTGTGCATAAAAATAACCATAATGTACAGCTCTTTGTCAATGCAGCTCTCTTCACAACTTTGTCGGTCGTGGGTGATGTTTTTCCATATATCACCACACCGGTCAGTGAGGGTTGGTGAAAGGGACAGCTGAGGACCAGTTCAGACACCGCACACCACTGATGTTATCTGTAGCTGGGAATCGAACACGGTTTGCTGGCTTTATAGAGAAGTGATCTAACCACTGCACCACCACTTCACTGTGCATATAAGTAGACAAAAATGTCAGTGAATAAATATTGTTAATGGATAAGTAGGGCATTGGAGTAAATGCCGTGACCTATTGTTGGCTGTTAACAAACACAATCACATCATTAGACCTCCTTTGCCAGTACCAAAATGTAATAACAAGGTTTTTCCCCTTTTTTCTGGCAACAAAACTGAAACCTTTTTACAAGGATTCATGTCTGCATTAACCACAATACCTGCAGTCAAAATACAAACAAAAAACATACTATGATAATATATGCATTGTCCTTGAAACTTATTGGTCCACACCAAGGGACGGCTTCTTTTGAAAAAGGCGTACGCCTTTTGGCGTCATCTGGTCGAGCACCAATTGGGTCGAGGCTCAAAAGAAGCCGTCCCTTGGTGTGGACCAATCAGTTTCAAGGACAATGCATATATTATCATAGTATGTTTTTTGTTTGCATTTTAACTGCAGGTATTGTGGTCAATGCAGACATGAATCCTTGTAAAACGGTTTCAGTTTTGTTGCCAGAAAAAAGGGGAAAACCCTCAAACACAATCACGTTAGCCTGTGTCAACCAGATGAGAATGTGTGTACAATACCTTTATCACCCCTGTTATTGAGTAGGCGTGTCCCTCCACCAAACCCATTGGCGTAACCTTCTCTCCACGGCCCTAGAAAAATATAAATTATACCGTTGTAAGTATGATTAGATCATTCTGGTGAGCTTTTCATTCACTCATGTACAACGCTTGGGATGCCTCATTATTTCAGGAATTGTGGCTTCGTTTGAACTCCAGGGAAATTTATTGCAGCTCTCCGATGTGGTTTCGGGTTGTACCGCGTGTTGTTCGGCGTGATGTCCGACGTTTTGCTCCACGTGCTGAGAGATTCTTCAGGGACCAAATTATTTCGGGATAAAAATATTTAGTTACTGAATTCGGTTTAACAAGAAGCTGCCACCACGTGGACCAAAATGTTGGACATCGTGCCGGGCAGCATGCGGTACAAACTGAAACACAACGGAGAGCTCTACAGCACGAATATATACGTACTAAATATGACTGTTGTTGTGATATTGCAGGTTTGTATTAATTGTGAATCAGGACATCAAATTGTATGTTTCCTTCATATCAATATCATCTGATGTCCTGATTATAGTTTTATGTACCACACTCTATTGTGGCACCTTAAATATTTTTTAATGACTTTTCCTTTGAAAAAAGATTACAGAATTGTAAAAACTAAATATGAATCGATGGTTTATGGCTTAATTTCCACGAATTAATCTAAGCATTTTCACTTATGCAGAGTGCTTAACACGTATTTATGCGATTGAAGCCACACACCTCACTTATGGATTGCAGATTGTTATATAAAAATGGAACAAAAAGCGATATTTGCACAACGTTTGGAGAGGTGTGTGCTTTGAATTACATTGAGAGGCAGAAAGGGGAACATTTGAATAAGAGAACAAACTTTGGTTAAGGACATCCATTACACCGTATAGAGGAGCAAGACGTTGGGCAAGGTAACGTCGCTAGGTGGATGATGGAGGGTGATCAAGAATAATCACGGAAGGGCAGCCGAGGACCAGAACGCATCCAAGAGGGTGTCCATCGAGGAGATGGAGCAATACATTCCGCTCGTGTGCGGGTGTTAGGTGAATTCATGACATCGCAGGGTCATGAGCCATGGAGGCAGCCAACGTCGGCCTTTATCCAGCAGCGCTATTGACGAAGGCTGATGATGATATAATTTGTATGAAAACATTGCATAATACTATAATTCGTCATTAATACAGCTGGTGTGTGTCGCCTGATGAAGATAGTTGTAATTACCGGCGAAACGTCGTACTCTGATTGTAAATGTTGTGGCTTGGCTCTGCAACACACCGGTGTGCTGTGCCAGTGACGAATTGGCACGTTCTGTTTACGTGACAACCCTTACTAGTTGGCTGTGTTGGGTGGTGGCGGGTTTAACGACACATTTATATATTTACGCGATCTAACCAAAAGAAAACCTCTATTATGTGTGATATTGGTCGCCAAAGCCTACGTGTTAAACTTAAAGCATTGCAGTTTCTTTAAATGGTATTAAACTCTACTATGGGCAGGAATGTTGGCAAATATAATGACTGTGCTTCGCTTTCTATGAATGCGTGTGCGTGCATAGCTAATGGTTGGAAAATAATTTGCATTTTTTCTCTATCATAAGCCATGGACGAGTCCTGTCCACTTCACCACGCTTGCATTGGTTCATAAAAAGAGGCAAGTGCGTATTGAGAGGGCTTCACGTCGCGTTTCAATGGTAACAGGTCAAGGTGCAGCTCTGCAATTGCTTGCTCACGCCACTGTTAGCCGAAGCACCCCGCTCGAGTGATACACTTCCCCGTTGATTAGAGGTTTTGCAAGAGGTGGGCGTACCCACACTTTACCCCACCACACGCAGGAACCTGCCGATTAACTCATTGTAGTGTACCAATGTATACTGCTGGGTGGACAGAGGTGGAGAGATTTGAAGAAAAAAAACAACCTGTACCATTGTTTCAACTGTTGTGCCGGGAGATGGCATCGAAGCGGAGACCTCTGGATTGCGTGCCCAGTGTGCTCACCATTGCACCAATTCTCTTCATCGTAAGGCCCCTGATGGCCTTTAGTGCGGGCCCTGACGTGCGGCCCCCGACAGTACTCAAACATGGAAACGATCCCCATCATCGTGCTGCTGCTGTCAAACACAACGGTTTCAAACGTGTGGCGGCCCTCACACTGATGATGTCTTATCGGCGAAAGTGGCGCCCCTCTCGCTGGAAACTGGTGAGGAACACTGCCCGAACACCGCGCGAGTTCCATTCCAATGGGTAACACGTGCCTCGATTCCGCAGCAGATGATGGCGCCCTTTTTGATGGCACGGGAAATGCCGTCCCAATAGTCGCGGGGCGCATTGTTCATCGTGAACGTCTCGCCCACACCTCCGGTGAAGTCACAGAGGGCCTCGACGGGGAATCCGTACGCCAGCGCCTCGTAGCAGCCGTTCAACCTGCGCAAGCAGCACTCGACCGTCATCAGTCTGGAAACAGACAGCTGGCCACGTGTGTGTGTGATGCTGGCACCGTGGTGCAATCCTGCCAGTCATCTAAGTCAGTCGACCCATAAGCACCGGGGTCTGTTTCCGTGACCTCCAGCCACGGGCACAAAGTGCACTTAGCCTGGCACAAGCGCCGTGGTGACGACACCGTCACTTAGTGGGGAATGGCGTTTGTTGGTGTTGGTTATGAGCAGCAAGGTAGCAGCAATGGGGCGCGCAGGGGGTGCATCTGCCAGCCAGATCAATTAGTTAACCCATAACCAGTGATGGATCTCGGGTGGAATTGGAGGGGGGGGGGGCGATGGGGGTAATGCCCCTCTCCTCAACCCTTGAACTCCCAAAATTTTTATTTTATTGATATATACGAGAGCGAATACATTTAATGTTTTTTTTTTGCTGATCCACCACGGATCTCCCTTTCAAACTATCTGGGTAACTGGCTAAATGAGGCTTTCCGTGGAACAAATAAACATGACCTGGTTAATGTATATTATTGTTGTTAATATAGGGCCCAATTTAAAAATATAGAAATTTTCCGACTGTCCTCACCCTTAGGAACTTTATAGATTTGTCTCTGCACGGAAAACCTGGGTCTGTTCCCTGACCTGCCAGGGAGCCTTCAACACTTCACGGGGCCTTAAGGTGCACCTAACCTGGCACAAGCGCTGTGGTGATCGCACCGTCACTTAGTGGCGAATGGCAGCTGTTGTTGTTGTTGGTAATGAGGAGCTGAACTGAAAAAGCTTGCTTTTGAAGAGCAATTGATCTCGGTTGGAGTGCTCGCCCATTGGGGAGCCAAAGCATAAATAAATTATGGGGATGCCTCGGGTAACTACACACATTATATGCTAAACAAGCTATACCAATTAATTATGTCACACGTGTGTAAAATAATAAAGTTAATACTATCTTGGTAGCGGCATTACAATGCTGAGAATTGTTTTGTTTTTTATAATGAGTTCCAGTTGAAGTTTGGTCAACGCAATTTTTTTTCGGAATCCGAGGCCCCTTCAGCTACTCGGAGCCCTACGATTATGCTTAGTTGCTTTTTGTCTAGTAAAGTGCTGCCACTAATACAGTACTGTTGAAACACACAACCGTGCGTTCCCAGCCAGCGCAAACGCCAGTGAAAAGTGGAATCAGAATAAAAATGGTGCAGTCTTTAAACATCATGTCTGTACAACATTTGCACCCCAGTATGCTTCAAGGAGACCTGTGACAAAAAATGTCCCCTATCTTGTCATATCTCAGGGTTGAGCCTGGATAGTGATCAGATGGGCGACCACCATCCACCTCACGTTGTCATGCACGCCAAGGGCGGTGGCGAAATGTGAACCACCTCGCCTGGTATACAAGGAGTCGTGGGTTCGATCTCGACCTTGGACGCCTGCTGTATGTTTGGAGTTTGCATGTCTCTCCCCCCGTGGTCGCTTGGATTTTGCTCCGGGTCCTCGGGTTTTTAACTCCACATTTAGAATCACGCGTTCGGAGTTTTTGGCCGCCGCTATAAATGTCCACGTGATGCGCCGTTCGTTGAGCTATCATTTGAGGCCAGGTCGCTTCTGAAAAAGAGCGAGACTGGTATAGGCTCAGTGGGCCTTACCTGGCAAAATACCAATTTTAGTTTAGTTTTTGGCATCTTTGGTGCTGTGCTACATTGTGAGCGGCAGAGGGCAGTGCAGAAACATCCACTGTCGTACTGTGTTTCGAACACTCCCACACACGTGCGTACGCTCCCGCCTTCATTAACCATCATTGACCAACGTGGTGAAGTATGGTCAACTAACCACCACGGGTTGCAAGGCCTAGGGGAGGTCCTCTTCCAGCAGTGGATTGACAAAGGGCTGTACCTGTCTCTATGGGAATGGGGGATCTTGTTTTTGTCTGTGTGTATTTGATGGTCTGTATTGGACACCTATGTCGGATGGACGACAACACGACAATTAAACGTGTGTTGTTTGTCAAAGAGAGGAAGAGCTAACAGAGAATGACTTGACGACAACACAAGAGAATGGTGCCAGAAAGATGTGGAATTACTTGAGCATATTGGCACAAGACAGAGGATGAAATGTGCAGTGGACACCTACGGGCTATCCGCGCATGGATCGTGATGATGATGTGATGTAATTTATATGACAACATTAACCCCCCTCTGGTCTTTGCACCTAATTGACCACAACAGGAGGATTCTTCCAGAGTTCCGACTGTCACATGATGAGGCTGGTTGTAATTACCGGACTAAACGTCACAAAACTCGAATTATAATAAATGTTGCGGGTTTACTCTCCAACACACAAGGGTGCGCTGAACTCGTAACTAATTACCACGTTTTGTTTACGTGACAACCCTTTACCAATTGGCTGCGTCGGGTGGTGGCGGGGTTTAACGACACATTTATATTTACGCGATCCAAACCCGAACACCCGCGCTCCCCCCCCCCCTCCATTGTGGATGATCCGATGGCTCCGTGTGCCGTACTTGGCGTAGGCTTTCTCCAGCAGGGCGCTCCAGAACTCGTTGCCGGTGCCCGACTGCACGAACACGAGTTCCCCTTTCTTGGTGGGCAGGCGATCGTCCACGTGCACGTCCACCCACTCGCCGTACTGGCAGAACTGCACCGGGTGAGAGCCCCAGACCACGCTCACTCGCACGGCTGGGCACTTGCAACTGCTCACATCGGCTACGAATGTCCACGTAAGCCACTCGTTTGTGGCCAGGTCGCCTCTTAAAAAGAAGCTCATAGCTCAGTGGACTTTAACTGATAAAATAAAAATATTCTATCCACATATACAAGCACAGAGACAATTTCAACCGAGAAGATGGATTCTGGCTTAGCGATCATTGGAAGGATTTGATAAACCCTTTCAGGTCTTAGCTGATTGTTCACGCTTACGGTGGCTTTCAGACAGCATACATTAATTTTTCGTCTCCCCCCTCCTCTTTTCAGAACATAGATGGACTCGTCCTTCTAAATAAACTGCCAAATCGCTGCCCGTGGCGCTAACGTTTTTTATATAAATAAATACAAACACCGTTTAAAAATAAATCAATGCAAACCGCCACTTCTTTCAAATGTTTCTTGCCGTTGGTTTTCACACCTGATGATGACCGTTTGTTTTATGGTCGAAACGTCGTGAGAATTTTTATTGTTTTATATATATATATTTTATCATGTTATTGTTTCCCTTCAACGTGACTTTACCGAAAGAGCTAAGAATATATATTCTTGTTGTCTTTTTGTATTGTTTGTTGTTGTAACGTTCTGCACCCGCACCTACTAGATATATGTGAAAAAGAGCTTTATAGCTCATCGGATTCCTCAAGTATAAATAAAGATTCGGATTCTGACATACACGTCCACCCAGGGATTGATTTAAGCCGGGGTTGTCGAGGGTCTGAGCTCTGGAAATGTTTCCCCTGTACACGACGCAGCGTGCACCTTGCCAAGGGAAGGTGTCAATGGAAAGCGCAAGTGAGTCCCAAGGAGGCTCCGATTCGACCAATTTTATAGAATTATACTTAAAGCAGTCAGGCACTCGGAATCAGAATTTTGTATTTAGACTGCAGGGATCTGACGAGCTATGAATATCTTTTTCACAGATGTCTAGCGTGGTCGAGTCAGCAACAATACAACAACAGACAACACAAACACAACGATAAGAGTGCAAAAGTTAGGAAAGGTAAGCAAGTCACTAAAATAAATAAGCATAAAGTATAAACGTAAGTACAAATTTGCATAAGCATATACGTTCCTGTCGATTGTTGGACAATAAACGCAACTGATACACTCTGGTCACTCGCTCAATGTCAGCCAGTCGCCTCCTTAGCACTTTTCCATCGCTACTCCGCATGGCGACTCTCCCCGTGATTCCCACTCGTTGCTTCCTCCACCTGGGTGGAGGAAGCAACCTCCCTTCCAGCACGGCGTGGAGATGACCTCATGCTGCATTGAAGTAACAAGAACGGGATGTAAATGTACGATTATATAACCATGCACAATGCTACTCAACAACACGTAATACGTTTCACATATTAAACTGGCAGGGTGCGGAGTGTACTCTTAGTCATACAATTTATGACTCCTTCACTTTGACAGGGTCACTGAAATAACAATTTGTGTGAATGCTATAGAAATTGCTCTGTCTTCTTGGGCATGCACCTCTTTTCAAGGGCATTGATTTTTGGAGAGAGCAAGATGACAACAAAATATTCCTCATGACCCAAAAGGTGCGGGGAAGGCCCTCATCCAGTAGTGGATTTACGAAACTGCTTCTGCATGCGTGTCACTGTGAGGTCACACCATGCCACGTGTGAAGGGACCTTGCTCTCTTACACGGAAGAGGAAAATGCCAGCGTAGTCCTCGTGGAAGCTCTGCCCCATGGGCACCACCTTGGCCAGCAGATCAGGGTAAAGGGTGAGCGATGCGATCGCGGAGAGGAGCCAACAGTCAGCTGTTGGAGCCAACACAGGAACAAGAACAGGGGCAAAACGCAGGCTTAATTCATCAACAAAACACCAACAACAGCAGGCATTAGCTTTCTAGTGCATATTTTAGGATTCAGACTGGACAAAGCGCTTCGGAGGTGCAACTGTGATATCTGGTTACTTTAATAATAATAATGATAAATAAAAGCCATTCTCAATAAACTAATGGGCGAAGGCATCCCCAAGATTTGTCGGTCATGGAGATCGTGAGTGACGAAGTGAATAATGTAAATTGTTATTAACAAAACACGAGCACACTCGTCAACAGTATTGCTTTTAGAATGAAGATATAATCGGCGACGTGTCAAGCAGTGGTCCTTATTCATAGCAGCAAATGGCCATTGCCCAAAATGAAGACGATTATATATTTTTAAGGCAGTGTTGTCGACGAGTTTGTGTAGTTTATTTTGTTGTTGTGCTTGTGCACCACTTTCCAACAGCATTACCAAATATATGTTTAAAAAATACTATTCTAATGATGTGCCAAAAGGGTTAGACATCTGGCATTGGGAATAGAGTCATCAAGCATATGCATATCACTAGAAACATCAGAAAAGCATCATTTTTTATTTATTTATTTCGGAACCCAATGATTTGGATGCAAAAAAATGTGAATGTTGTGTTTAAATCTAGTTCTATAGAAACTTAAAATTTGCTTACATAGGACCCACAGCTTTACTTTAAAAGGAAAGCAAGAGATATTTTATCAACTAACTTTTTTAGGTTATGAATAGTATGTCAAGTAGGGGCTAATTCAAACAATAGAATATATGATACTTTATCAGCGAGAACATGACCCAACATAACATAGGAGTCCTGACGCTAATTATGTTGAGACTATGGTAAAACCAAAACATTTGCTGGCATCTGCAGTTCGCGCGTGAGGTCCTTTATGCTGCGTGCCAAGCCCTATTTTAAAGGGTCGATTCTGAATCTGTTAGATCGCCTCTTCCAATAAACATCTGTACATGCATGAGCTTGATCTCAGAAGCCAAGCAGACTTGAGCCTGAATATTGAATAATGGGCAACCACTATGAATACAGGAACAGGTGCTGTAGGCTGCTGTGGTGGCTGCATTGTCAGCAGAGGGCAATGCAGAACAATCCATTGTTGTACTGTACTATGCTTCACCATATTCTTTCCCTGCCTTCACGAACCCAGTGAAGGGTGGTGAAGTAACTATAAACTATTTATATTTTACCAGGTAAGGCCCACTGAGCTATTTTTCATAAGTGACGTGGCCACAAATAATAGCTAAACAAATTGGCTTATCGTGTTGAAATTTATGGCAGCGGCCAAATAATCTAAACGCGTGATGTTGGTTATAAATATGGAGGGAAAACCCGGATCCTTTAAACTCCAAATATACAACAGGTGGCAGGGTTGGGATCGAACCCACGACCTCCTGTATACCAAGCGAGGTAGTTAACATTTCGTCACGGAGACATGCCCCCACGATCCGCACGGCGTGATGAGACACTCATCCATCAGTGGGTGGACAAGCAAATCTGTTGTGTGCATTGCATAATCTAATTATATGAATACTTTTCTATTTAAAGCTTTCGTGACTGCAGGGATTCATCTCCTTGGTTCTTTCGGTAAAGTCACGTAAAGGGAAGTAATACAAATAAAACATAATAAAATAAAATTCTTACGACGTTTCGGCCACAACACAAGCAGCCGTCCTCAGGTGAAGAAACAGAACTGTCAGAAAGACAGCGCTCCAATGAACACCGCTAAACTTGGCAGCGTATTTTAAGCTGGGTGGGAGGAGCAGAGCGCCTTGACAAAGGAGTTTACATATCAACAGAAGAATTTAGCATTGAAGTAGCTGTGTTAATGTGAGAGATTAGCTCAACTTATTGGAGAATATATTGAGTACATTGATTATATTGATGTAGTTTCTATTTAGTTCTTTCACATCGGTTTATTGTATGATAGTTGTAGTTGCAGTTCTTTAGCGTCAATAGACTAAATGCCTCTGTTGATATGTAAACTCTGACTTTAACATAGCTACTTCCGTGACCAGTTACATGCTAATCCGTTACACTAACATCATGCTAATCTCCCAGTTACATGCTAATTTCTGACTTTAACATCCTGCTAATCTCTCACATTAACACAGCTACTTGAATGCTAAATTCTTCTGTTGATATGTAAACTCCTTTATCAAGGCGCTCTGCTCCTCCCACCCAGCTTAAAAGACGCTGCCAAGTTTAGCGGTGTTCATTGGAGCGCTGTCTTTCTGATAGTTCTGTTTCTTCACCTGAGGACGGCTGCTTGTGTTGTGGCCGAAACGTCGTGAGAATTTTATTTTATTATGTTTTATTATTTATTATTGTATTATTTCCCTTCTACGTGACTTTACCGAAAGAACCAAGAAGATATATGAATACTTATTTGTGGTAATAAAATATTGTTAAAATAATGACATTGTAAGTACTGAAGTTGTTGATCACGTTTTCAAAATATAATTGTAGTTGAATTGCAATTATAGTCGTGTGGTTGAGATTACATAAAATACACTTTTTGGCATGAACTGACATCTCAGTATTGGAGGAATGCCAACGAAGGTAGTGAAGTGGGCGGGGCATATGTGCCCTGGGGTAAGACAACAAGAAAACAACACAGATCAAGTCACAACTTAACCTGTGCTCGCTTGACAAGAAAACAAATCAAATCACGACCCAAAGTGGTTGATGACATCTTTCCAATGATTTCTGAGTTTATAACCATCCTCTCGGTTGAAATTGTGTCTGTCTCTGTATATATGGATGCCTTCATGAACGAATCTTTGTTGATAGCCAGTGGGCTTGCAAAGTACCTTCGTCTTCGAGAAATAAATTTCGTGTGAGCCAGCCGCATTAAAATAATGATCAACCACGGCAGAAGTATTGGTCCTACCGTGTTTCAAATGGGATCCAGCGCATGGTAGCCAAGCAGCGATCAGAAAGGTGTGAAGCAAATCCCCGGGGATTAGGGAAGCCACTACATTTAAATGTGAATGGATCGAAGTCCTCAACTGCAGGCGTAAGATCACCGGGTAAAGGGTGGAGGCGAAATACGAATGCCTTCCCTTGCTCGCAAGACACCAATTGTAACTGCGGGCGTCAGACAAACGCTGGCTGTCCGCCTCCAAGGAAGCGGCGCGCCGTGCACGAGAGATTGTCAGGCGACGGGGGCTGTTGGCGAGCTGCCACCTCGACTCGCGGTCGCCGGTGCCGTCGCAACAGCGTTGTGGGCGGCGGCGTGACGCCAGCGACGAGCCCCACGGGAGCCGTGAGTGCAGCCTGCCGCACAGGTAGCGTGCACAGATGGCCGGAGGGCTTTCGCGGTTTTGCTACTCTTGGTTTGGTCGGCCTTCAAATGTTGCATCATGTTCATCAGCAGCAGCCGAATGCGAATTAGACGCATCGTGATGACGGTTAAGGAAGGAAAGTGGGCTTGGACAGGACATTGCTGTCGGAGATGATGGCCAATGGTAAAGTCTGGTATAGAAATGTCAGTCAAAGGAGGGAACGTCCTACGAGGAAGGATGCCGAGGAGATGGAGCGATGGGAACAGCTCACGTGCAGGAGCAAGATGGCTTGTGGTATTGCGGGACCATGAGGTGGTCTTCATCCAGCAGTGGATAGATGATAGTTGATGATGATGAGCGTGTATGTATTCTAATGTTATTATATAAGGCTTACGTAGAGTTCCTTGGTTGATGTCAGCTCTGGTGGCTCCAGACACAATGAATTCTGGGTGACGAACGAGTTCCTGCGGAGAGATCAAAGTTTTATTAAACATGTGCCATGAGCAACGTTTGTCTTACGGCATATTCATGTCTATGCTATTGTTTGGCTGTGGGTTAGACTGCATAAAACACTCAGCATGTTTGCTGCTTGTTGTACAGGCTCGAAGATAAAGCCCCACGACCGCCCTGGTTAATACTGCGGGCCTATTAACCATAAATATGAGCCCTCTGCTTCACAGTGGACATTAAATATTCCATGAAATTATTTGAAAATAATGTAGGCTGTCTGTTTCGACATCGTGGTCCAAATTTTCCAAACAAAAACCCATCGCCCTCTGCAGGCAGACTATATAACATTTTAAAGCGGGTGCTGCATACACCTTATGCCACATAGGGGCACATGCCACTGGGGTTCCCCGAGACAAGACTACCGCAGGGAAATGGAATGAATGTTTGAGATCAGATGTGGTGCAAAGTGCGTTAAGATACTGAGTAATTTAAGCAGCCTATAAATGCAAACCGTGTTAGGTTATTGACTCACATTAAACATCTCTCTGTGGGACAGATCGGTGTAATTTCTCATATAAAATTATGTAAATAACATTCATTAGAGAGCATATTTGGAAATTCCTGAAATATATACCGTTCTATCCCCCCTCTCTTTTCCACACTTAAATATAGCAACGTATATAGAAGTTTACCCTGTGCGAATAGCAATCACATTTGATTCATAACTCACGTTGACCATGTCATACATTTGATGAAAAGTTACACTTTCATTTGTCGATGTGGCTCGTATCAAAGGAAAAATGTTTCGTTTTAATATCGGTGTATGCATGTAATGGATGTGAACTCACCCAAGGTCTCTTCCACTCAATGAAATTGTTAGACTGTGTGATGACCGTCGGCTGGACTCTAATATGCAGTGAGGACAGACTGGCTGGGAAGTCGGGATCTTCAAAAAGAATTTTGCGCTGCAAGCACTCCTTCTTTATCTCCTGAAACGTCTTCGATTTTGTTTTAAAGTTCCGAATCATGACTGCGATGGGCAAGATGTGTACTTAAAACGGGGGCAGTGAAAACAAACGTGAGCTGCGAAAAAAGTTGCAGCAGTCAGAACGACTGAATGCATTCAAAAACGCAGCTCTCACCTTATAACACCAACGCCTGCCTGTCTCAACACATATGAAATTTGAGCTTCTGTTTACTCGCTATGCCTTGAGGCTTTATAGGAATACCAACGCTTCCCACGTGTTCAGACTAGCAGAAAACCACCTACCTATTCAATTCCAATATACACCCCCACATGGATTATGAAAAAATAATGATTTTATCTCCATATCACACGCGATCACTTGTATTGCCTTTTAAAGGTAATAAAAACAAGCATTTTATGCATTTATTGACGGCAATTCTTACTTTGCAGTATTTAAATATTACCCTTTAGGCATAGGAATACAACAAAATAATATCGATCATTTAAGATAGAAATTAATAATTACCTTTGTAAAATTTAACTTTTCGAATTATGTTTGCTAAACGTGCACTCACAGTACATTTTGTGAACGTTATGTTTTCGTAAGACGACACTCATTACCATCAGCCATTATCTATCCACTGGCCAGGCTCAATTGCTTCACAGTATAAATGTCTTGTTGATACAGATGTTCCACTTCCAGTGTCATTTCATGCATGTATCTCTCTGTGCTTCTTTGCACAATCCCCAGCATTTGTTCCATTTAATGTCTATGTCCATGGCTGTTGTTTTGTAAAAAAATAATTATTAGCCAAAATATACAGCCTTCTTTAAGATCTTCAATCCATTTCTGAAATAGTTTTCATTCGTGTTTACAGTGACTGCATTGTCAACAATTCTTACATGGTTATACTGCCTTACATTTATGTTTACGTCTAACATTCTCCAATTCAGTGTTTCTCAAATGTCTTCTAATGTATGGGAAAGCCCCCAGATCGGATGGAATAACTGTGGACATCGTCAAAGAAGCGGGACCAGTTGTAACAAAATACGCAGACCCATGTTGTGACGACTAAGTGTGTATTTGCGCAGGAATACAATCGAAATTGGAATGATGTCCAAATCATAATTTTATTCAAAAAGTGAGACAGCTGAATTGCATAATCACAGAGCCATTATCTCGCATGTATACATTGCTCACGAAGATCAAAGGGAACCGAATAATGGCCATTTTAGAGTAAAACTTTGTTGCCAATCTGGATTTGGATTTAATTGCTAAAATGAACCAGATGCATACTAACAATCGGATACGAGAAAAGACAATTGAATATCAAAGACCATTATGCCAGGCGTTATGGGCAATTTTAAGAGCATTTTATTCCATAGAAATTGATAAAAACTCTGAAAAACAAATGGTGCCAAAGTCAACTATAGAGTATCCAAAAATCAATGTCCCAATACTCAAATGAACACGGGTTGCTTTTTCATCTCCGGTTGTGATCGTCAGCCAATGGTGGGAATTCCACATTCCTATTCTAGGGAGAAATCTTCCTGTACCCCGAATTACCACTGATCATACTGTGTAACAAAAACTAAATTTTGTTCCTGAGTAGTAAGTGTTACTTCCTAATTGCTATTGCCTCAAAAGTACAGAAAATGGTTATTATTCCCCACAAACTTTGTTTTTGTGACTGGGACAGTGATATTTAGAAATGTATCTATTTTCAATGAGGAAACGTGGTGTGCATTTGTGTCATCTTTCACGTAAAGTCCTGGTCACAAAAGCAAAGTTTGTGGGGAATAATATCCATTTTATATACTTTTTAGGAATAAGCAATTAGAACATAACACTTAGTACCCAGGAACAAAAGTTGTGTTACATTGTAATAATATACAAAGTAAAATTTGGATTCAAAGCTTTCGTGACTGCAGGGATTCATATTCTTGGTTCTTTCGGTAAAGTCACGTAGAAGGGAAACAATAAAATAATATATTTATTATTGTTTTATATATTTATTATTTTATTGTTTCCCTTCGACGTGACTTTACCGAAAGAACCAAGAATAAAATATACAAAGTAATATACTGTACTATAAAATTCAATGTAAAGTACAGCCCTTTGTCAATACACTGCCGAACGAAGGCTGTGCCGTTCTTCGGGGTTGTGTTGTTTTTTTAACCATACTTCACCACACTCGTCAGGTCGGTTTGATGAAGAGAGTTTTCACGTTACAGCATAGTGCATATATAAAATGCACTTTATATACAATGTACTTTGTGAGACTTGGCATTGAAATGTGTGCAGCTTTGTCAGGCTGCACACAAGCTCAGTGTCTTTGGAAGGTGGCAACAAGACCTTTCAGAGTGGCAACAGAGATCTGAGATTACCTGGGGAAAAGTGCCTTGTTTCTCTGAAGGGATTTTCTTTCATGTGAAACAGAGCCATCGCATGGAAAAACAAGAAGCGGAGCCAGGGTGGTGTGGCACCATCCGTCAACGCACAACGAAGTTTTAGCAACACCCCCCCCCCCCCGCCAAAACGGGTATAAAGCTCTGCTAACGCTCTTCTCCAGTTATCACACAATGGGCAAGACGCATCAGCCCGTGGTGAGGAAGACAGAATGTGTCTGTGGTTATCACCACATCTTTGAAGCATGGTTAAATTAATACTGTACTGTGCTCTATCATCATCATCATCATCACGATCCGTGTGGGCAGATAGCCCGTAGGTGTCCACTGCACATTTCGTGATTTGCTTCCACTTCCCTCTGTCTTGTGGCAAATCGCTCAAGTTGTGGCCACATCTTTCTGTCACCAAGCTCGTATGTCATCGTCAAGCCATTCTCTGTCAGGTCTTCCTCTCTTTCCGGTCCCTTCCATTTTCCCGAACAACACACTTGTTTCTCCAAAAGTATTTTTTTATTTATTAACTAAAGGATTCAGGTATACACCGTAAAGGATATGAAAGGGGGTTGACACCAGCGCAAACACATTGCGGATTACAGTGCAATGGAAATCTGTCTAAACCTCATGTTTCAATAAACTGTTTCAATAAACCGTGTCTTCCTAAACTCTGACACCCTTGTAGGTGATGAAGAAAATAAGGGAGTGGGGAGGGAAAGGGGGAAGGAATTCCTAAATGCCCTCATGGATGCCCTTAAGAATCACTGGAGGAGAGGTCGTGAAATGGTTCCATGTTTGGTGGTAAACTTCCTCCCTGCCCCGTAGTTTTGTACTTTTTTTAATTATCGGCCCATTCTAGCAGTGTTGAGGAAGCATGCTCTTTCCATTTGTCTTTAATGGTGCGTTTTGCATAACATGAACAACACACTTTTAATTTTCCTTTTGTTGTCCATCCTACATATGTGTCTAAATACTGCCAGTTTTTAGATTTGAAGCTTTCGTGACTGCAAGGATTCATACTCGTTGGTTTTATTCGGTAAAGTCACGTAGATAAAATAAAACAAAATAAAAGAAAACAATTAAATCACGACGTTTCGGAGGCAACACAAGCTTCCGTCTTCAGGTGGAATAGTCACAGAAGGATATCTGTGTCAAGTGCACAGCTCTGAGACGATCGGGTTTATATCTAGGTTAGGGGGGGGGGAGCCAGAAAGGAAAGTTGGTGGGTGGGAGGGCTGAGCTAAGCCGTTTTTTTTAAAATGAAGAAGCAGTTTATATATAGGTTGAGGGGGGGGGGCAGAAAGGAAAGTGGGTGGGTGGAAGGGCTAAGTTAAGCCGTGACGGCTTAACTCAGGGTGGGTGAGAGGGCTGAGTTAAGCCGTGACGGCTTCTTCGTTTTCAAAATCGTTTAAAAAACGGCTTAACTCAGCCCTCCCATCCTTTCTGGCTCCTCCCCCCCTAACCTAGATATAAACCCGACTATTCCACCTGAAGACGGATGCTTGTGTTGCCTCCGAAACGTCGTGATTTAATTGCTTTCTTTTATTTTGTTTTATTTTATCTACGTGACTTTACCGAATAAAACCAAAGAGTATAGTGCCAGTTTAATTGTTTTATTGTGTTTAGGGTTGTTTCGCCCACGACACTTTGCGTGAAGGTATGTAGACATCACGCAGGTGGTAAGAAACTTCGTTTTTATGCACAGGGAAAGGTGGCACGTGTTAGACGATGTGTTGAGTTTCTGAGGAATTTAAGCACATTATACATGTAAACAATAGTATCGTTATGCGTGCAACCCCCACCAGCTATTGCAAATGTCGAAACGTTACCTCCTGAACAGTACCGTACTCAGTTTAACACGTAGGCTTTCGCGACCAATATTATTCATAATAAAGGTTTTTGGGTTAGATCGCGTTTATTTATAAATGTGTCGTAACCCTCCACCACCCGACACGGCCAATCAGCAAAGAAAAGTGTCACGTTGACAAAAGACAAATAATTCACTACTTCAGCCCACCGGTGTGTTGAAGAGTTAATCCACATTTACAGTTTGAGTACGACGTTTCGCTGGTAAATACTTCCAGCATCATCGGGCAATTCGCCAGAATGGTAAAGCCCTCGCTTGCTCCCGGTTTTATATAGAGCAGAAGAGTGACGTCATCACTTAACTCATCAGGTGCAGTGATTAGAGGCGGAGGGGGGGGTAAGTACCGTACTGTATATATTATTGTATATATTATATATATTATTGTATTAAAGATTCATCTTCTGGGTTCTATCGGTAAAGGCACTTAGAATGGAGATAAAATAAAAAAAATAATAATAACAGAATAAAATTCTCACGACGTTTCGGCCACAACACAAGTAGCCTTCCTCAGATGAAGAAACAGGACTGTCCGGAAGACAGCGCTTGAGTGAACCCTGCCAAGCATGGACAGCGTCTTTTAAGCTGTGTGGGAGGAACAGAGCGCCTTGACAAAGGAGTTAACATATAAATTAGCATGTAGCTGGGGGATTAGCATGATGTTGGTGTGAAGGATGAGCACCACGGAGAGCGACGAGCTCGGACCGGAGGAGGGGGCAGATCACTGAACACGGCCATGGTGCGCTGCTCTCCGGAAATCACATTTTTAGTTCTCTTTTCTATCTGAAAGTGTTACCGAGTCGGTTGAAGTGTTCCAGTATTATCAGGTTATGAAAGATCTGGTTGGGTTGCATTTTCTGCACTGTCTTCACGCTTGGCTGAGGACGAATCATCTTGAGCGGTCGCCTTTCACAGTCACACGATCTCCCAGAACTTTTAACAGTGAAGGCACAGGTTTTACATGAATATTATTATTGCTGCATCTCCCCCCCCCCGCCCCATGAGTCACTTGCTTATGCCACTGCTGGCATAAGGACCCCGACTGGAGGGAGCACGGCAGAGCCGCGATCTCAATGATATTCGGCCTTCTCTTCCCACGCTGGCCGGACCGTTCTGGAACAAGTGTCAGTACCCACGTTTTACCCCACCGCACGTGATTTTCCGACTGACTGTGGTGTATCCATGTATTCTGCGGGATGGACAGTGCAGTGGGATTCATATGGGAGAATGAACTTGGCACTACTGGGATGCAAGTCCACTGTGCTAACCATTAAACCACGGCAGCATACCTGAGTATTTTAAATGCGCAGTTAATGCTGTGCCTGAGTATTTTGTTCCATGAGTAAATAATTAATTCACATTTTAAAGATCGGTGTGATGTCCGTTTGTGTTAGTGTTCCCAGGGCGAGTCATAAAACAAAGGAATGCAAGAGTGAATGCACATTCTCTGTTACTGGTTAATCATTTTCAGCTCAAACCTATCCAAGGTAAATAACAACCCAAGCAATGCCAAGTTACTTCTGCTGGTACCAATAATATTGTTTTATATTTTTTATTATTGTATTGTTTCCCTTCTACGTGACTTTACCGAAAGCACCAGGAATACCAATAATATTGTTGAAAAATAGTGATTCAATTTAGATTTGAAGTTTTCGTGACTGCAGGGATCAATACTCTTTGGTTCTTTCGGTAAAGTCACGTGGGTATACCTAAAGTCACGTGGGTATATCTAGGTGACTTTACCTAAGGAACCAAAGAGTATGAATAGTGATTCATTCTCATTGAGTGCATGCGTGCATGAGAGAGTTCTTAGAAACGGATACTGTCATCACCAAACTGCAATGTTTTACGGTAAGTTTCGCTTTTGCTAAGTTACATTTTGCGTGTAATTTTGACGCGAGTTAACATCAGTGGCGAGAGATTACTCAATCGGTGTCCGAGTGGCGACCACCTTCACCAACCCACAGGCGCCAACGTGGCGAGGGGACAGTCAAAACAACCACCACGGCTTAGGCGGCATGGAGGAGGGGCGTCCACCCACGTCGAAGTACCCTCAAATGTTCAAAATTGAAGCGATTTGCTACTTTTACATTATTTTTCTTCTTCTTTCTTCTAGAGGTGAGTAGAGGGGTAGGATTTGTCATGGGCACTGGCTGCATTTTTATACAAAACATCAACTGAAGAGATTTTTGCTGTGAGCCAAACAAATCTCTGTCCATGCAATTTCAGCATCATTGTCTCCCTTCATGACATTTGCAGTTCGGAATAGAGTTATGCTTGCCAAGAAGAAAGGAAGATTTGTCATACTGGAAGATTGATTTTATATTGTGTAGGAAATTTAAAACAATGTCGTAGACAGTACATCACGTGGGCATGGAAAGAGGCCTGAAATTGTTGAGAATTTCTTTTTTTTTAAATCAAGTTGATGGTAATGGAAGGAGAAATGTGTAATGTGATGTCACATTTGAAGCCAAGACTTGGTGGACTGAACAGAATCAGAATATTTATTTATACTGGAGGAATCCGACGCGCTATAAAGCTCCTTTTCACAGATGTCCAGTAGTTTTCACAGATGCCCAGTAAAGTTTGTTGGACAATATAGTGTTGAAAGAAAGAAAGTCACGCTTTGCATTTGTCACATGCCAAGGCATGAGTCGCGCAGCGAATGCATCATGTTACCTGTGTTTGTGGGGTAAGAGGTACACCCAGAAGTAGTCGCCAATTATCAACACATTGTTTCGCAGATAGGAGTCATATGCAGATAGTTCCTATTATCCGCATTTATTTGATATTAATTTCACGGATATGAATAAATTTCACGCATCACATCCATCCCCCATGACTGGTCTAACGATGAGGCTGTTGGGACGCGAGTTGGCAGCTCTGATTGTGATCTCCCTCCACCTTGGTCGGTCATCAACGTCACCAGTCAGCTGCTCACGATGTGCTTCAGCCAAGCTCGCTTAATTTCATTAACAGTCTTAATAATTTATTTAACTTGCGTTTCGCTCTCCGATGTAGGTGTTTCTCCTTCCGTCTCTCTGAACCTTTTTGCTAGAGATCAACATGAAATTCCTCGACTAGTTTTATGCTTTTTTTCTATCATACATAACGATTCCATTTTCCTCTGTAAGGACTACCAAATGTGATTTTTCAATCAACGACCTTCTGCTTTAATTTTCCCATTGTTTGTTCTGACATCTAAAACACTTTTGTGTTGTGTTCTGTTTTTTTCCCTCCACATTCCATTCCTAATGGTATTATCTATGTATTTTATATTTTGTTTGGTATTTCCATGTTTAACTCTTTTCATCTTGTGTTTCGCTCCTCCCTTACAGTATTGTGAGATGCAGTGTTCTTCTGTCCCTGAAATATCCTGGGGGTTATTTGCACCTCAGAGTTGGGCGACACGACCAGTAGCCGTCCATTCGTTGGGCCACGTGCGCCAAACGTTCAAGCTTTCTCCTAAACAAGGGTGGTCTTCACCCAGCAGGGACTTGGCAAAAGGCCGTAAATTATCATTTATGTTATTACATGGTACATTAATTCTGACTTTGTTGAATATGTACAGATGCTTGTTCACTAACACCCCATTAGATATTAACTTTCAGACCGCCCATTATATCTAGAGTTCATTACTATCTTGGCAGCAAATCCCAAGTGTGAAGGACATGCCTGTTTTGTCATTTCTGTAATGCTCAGTCCCGCCCATTTGTTCACCAACTGCTCTCGATCGGCTTATGAAAGTGTCGCTGACAAGCTCTCAGTCTCACATAGTTACCATGCCATTTGAATTAACTTTCAGGTGTTTGTAGCCTTACTGAAGTTTGTTTCACTACAATTAAATCGCTGACATCCTGTTGCATGCGTGCCGCGTTTGGTCACCGTGGCATGCTGAGCAAGTTGGACTGATGGCTTTAATCTTAGTTGTCTTGTGGTTGTTGTTGTTTGACTTGCATCCCACTGGGATTTTTGCACACAGCGTTGGTGTACGGTGCTATTTCAGGAATATTTTGATGTTTTTTTCCTGGATTTTCTGTTTGCACAGTCACATAATCACTTTAAGATGTTTTCTTGTTCATGTTTTTGTTTGTTGCGGTTGCACCCGATTCAAGAGCCGAATGGCTCACAGGGCTATACCAAATAAATGGAATAATGAACTATGAACATCGGCGCCATCTCCCGGTCATACACGCGCAGCACAACAATTAATGTAATTCATTACAAGAATAGGGTTTCCCCTTTTTTCTGGCAACAAAACTGAAACCTTTTTACATGGAATCATGTCTGCATGAACCACAATACTTGTGGTCAGAATACAAACAAAAAACATACTATGATATTATATGCATTGTCCTTGAAACTGATTGGTCCACACCAGAGACAACTTTCTTTTGACCCTCATCTCAAACGGTGTTAGACCAGAGGACGCCAAAATGCGTCCTCTGGTCTAACACCGTGTGGTCAATGCAGACATGATTCCTTGTAAAAAGGTTTCAGTTTTGTTGCCAGAAAAAAGGGGAAAAACCTATTCTTATATTTTGATACTGGCAAAGGAGGTCCCATGACATATTTCATTACAGTTTAACACGTAGGCTTTCGCGACCAATGTTATCCACAATAAAGATTTTGTTTCGGTTTAGATCGCGTAAATATAAAGTACTCGAATTGTAAATATTGCGGATTTACTCTCCAACACAACGGTGTGCTGAACTAGTAACGAATTGGCACGCGGATGGTTCACGTGACAACCCTTACTGATTGGCGGTGCCGGGTGGTGGCCGGTTCCACGACGCGTTTATGTTAACGCGATCTCACCCAAATAAATACTTTACTATTTTATTACAGTACATGTACAGCTTCCTTGTTAATCTACTGCTGGATGAAGACCTCGCAAACCGTCGCAGGTCGTCGAGGCTATTTGACCATACTTCACCACGCCGGTCAATGCATGCGGGTTGCTGTAAGTGGGGAGAATAGACGTGGGTGCAGGACAACAGGTGATGTTGCTGCACTGCCTCTGCTGCAGCCCACCACAGTAGCCCCGCAGCAGCCTATAGCACCTGTCAAGCACGATGGTCACTCCATTCAGGCACAAAAACCAGGATCAAACCTGCTCAGCTTGCAACAAATCTGACGAGATCGGGCGGCTTCTGGGATATTTTTGGTCACGGGATAATGATTGTGTTTTTGTTTGTTACCACACGCTTGCATATTTTTTTAATTTGTGTAATGTTTATATTTCAAGTATGTATCTCGTTATTTTCCAAAACAAATTGCAAAAGGGCAGATTCGACAAGGCAAAGGGAGAGAGGGCTTAGTGGGATGGATCGGGGTGGCAAGGCTCATGGGGAAGATTCAACTCGTCCATAGGACCCGATATGCCCTTCAGTAGGAATTTTATTCACACGTGCTATGAAGAAGGGCCATTGCCCGAAACGTCGCATCTTCTACATTCCATGTAAATATCCCTTTAGAGCAGAAGGCAGTTTTATTATTGACGAACGTTGTTGGAAGTAGGAATTTAAAGTGAAATATAATCTTTAAATCAAGATCAAATCTAATCGCCAGCAGCTTGAAGAGTCGGGACAGGAGATTGGGGGCAGCCCTATGGTGCACAGCAAACCCCAACGCGAACGTAATCGACTCCCTTTCGATTAATTGTGCTCGCACAATGTGCGATTCCTTATACGCACGAATGGGCGGGGGAATCGATTAGTTTGAATCGAGCCGCCGTAGATTCTTTCCGACCTCCCCCCCCCCCACAGCAGCACCACCTCCCCTATATAAGCCGCAGACTGAGGCAGGAGGCGCCGTCTGAGCGCTCTTCTCCTCGCTGTCGCGGTGGTACAGAGAAGTAAAACAACGTCGTTTACAACAACAACAAAGCAGACGCGTGATTTATATGAAGTGCCGGTAACGTTAATTTCACTCGTTAAGTGGCTTCACAGCAGTTGCGTTAAAGCCATCAACGTCGTCATACGCTTAGTTGCTAAGTGTCGGCACAATCAGCTTAATCATCGCTTAAATTAATCACGCAGTCACGTAATTACCGTCACCACCACCAACCAACCACATCACCACCAACACATTAACATCATCATCGCCACCATAATTGTCACGTAATAATCACCGTCGTCATTATCACCTGCGATAAGCAGCATCAACACCACCACGATAATTATCACTTATAGTATCGGCATCATCCCCGCCACCATCAGCACATACAAGTCGGCGCTTTATCATCATCACCACCACCACCTCATCATAATCCCAACCACATCATCGTCACAAGGAGGCGGCTGAAGGAGGACTGGGCCCGCTGCTGATGTCTGCACGAGTTTGCTTCGAGGCCGGGCCAGGGGTAGGCACCGCCACGCAGTCGGCGCAAGGGAACGGAAAACAACAACAACAACAACCAGGACATGGAGAACAACAACAGCAACAACAACAACAGGGGCCGGTCCACCCTGGTGGAGGCGCAGCGCCGCCCATGCCTCACGGCAGGCGAGCGGGCAGCAAGGTGACCGTCAAGTACAACCGCAAGGAGCTGCAGAAGAGGCTGGACCTGGAGGAGTGGATAGACGAGAGGCTACACCTCCTCTACGACTGCGACGTAGGGGGACTTGCTTTTTTACCCTTCCCTCCGTGGCTTTCTCGCGCGTGTCCACGACCACCACACGACACCGCGTGTAGTTGTTGTTGTCGTGTTCTCTCTCGTCCGCGTTGCTCGTGAGGGCTCGCCACCACCGGCCACCGGCCACCGGCTGTCCGTTCAGCACCCTGGTCAGTCGGTGGGGTTCCATGGACGACGCCAGTGTGCAAAGCGACCGCGTGCCATTTGCTGCACTGAGTGTGTGTGTGTTCCATGGAGTGTGTGTGTGTAGATGTTCCATAGAGTGTGTGTAGATGTTCCATGGAGAGTGTGTGTGTTCCATGGAGTGTGTGTAAATGTTCCATAGAGTGTGTGTAGATGTTCCATAGAGTGTGTGTAGATGTTCCATGGAGTGTGTGTGTAGATGTTCCATGGAGTGTGTGTGTGTAGATGTTCCATGGAGTGTGTGTGTGTAGATGTTCCATGGAGTGTGTGTAGATGTTCCATAGAGTGTGTGTAGATGTTCCATGGAGTGTGTGTGTTCCATGGAGTGTGTGTAGATGTTCCATAGAGTGTGTGGAGATGTTCCATGGAGTGTGTGTGTGGAGATGTTCCATGGAGTGTGTGTGTAGATGTTCCATGGAGTGTGTGTGTGTGTAGATGTTCCATGGAGTGTGTGTAGGTGTTCCATGGAGTGTGTGTGTACATGTTCCATGGAGTGTGTGTGTGTAGATGTTCCATGGAGTGTGTGTGTGTGTAGATGTTCCATGGAGTGTGTGTGTGTAGATGTTCCATGGGGTGTGTGCGTGTAGATGTTCCATGGAGTGTGTGGATGTTCCATGGGGGGTGTGTGTGTGGATGTTCCATGGGGTGTGTGCGTGTAGATGTTCCATGGAGTGTGTGTGTGTAGATGTTCCATGGAGTGTGTGTGTAGATGTTCCATGGAGTGTGTGTGTGTACATGTTCCATGGAGTGTGTGTGTGTGTGTACATGTTCCGTGGAGTGTGTGTGTGTACATGTTCCGTGGAGTGTGTGTGTGTGTGTACATGTTCCATGGAGTGTGTGTGTGTGTACATGTTCCATGGAGTGTGTGTGTGTGTGTACATGTTCCATGGAGTGTGTGTGTGTGTACATGTTCCATGGAGTGTGTGTGTGTACATGTTCCATGGAGTGTGTGTGTGTGTGTGTACATGTTCCATGGAGTGTGTGTGTGTGTACATGTTCCATGGAGTGTGTGTGTGTGTACATGTTCCATGGAGTGTGTGTGTGTGTGTACATGTTCCATGGAGTGTGTGTGTGTGTACATGTTCCATGGAGTGTGTGTGTGTACATGTTCCATGGAGTGTGTGTGTGTGTACATGTTCCATGGAGTGTGTGTGTGTGTGTACATGTTCCATGGAGTGTGTGTGTGTGTACATGTTCCATGGAGTGTGTGTGTGTGTGTACATGTTCCATGGAGTGTGTGGGTGTGTACATGTTCCATGGAGTGTGTGTGTGTGTACATGTTCCATGGAGTGTGTGTGTGTGTACATGTTCCATGGAGTGTGTGTGTGTGTACATGTTCCATGGAGTGTGTGTGTGTGTACATGTTCCATGGAGTGTGTGTGTGTGTGTACATGTTCCATGGAGTGTGTGTGTGTGTGTACATGTTCCATGGAGTGTGTGTGTGTGTGTACATGTTCCATGGAGTGTGTGTGTGTACATGTTCCATGGAGTGTGTGTGTGTGTGTACATGTTCCATGGAGTGTGTGTGTGTGTGTACATGTTCCATGGAGTGTGTGTGTGTGTGTGTACATGTTCCATGGAGTGTGTGTGTGTGTGTACATGTTCCATGGAGTGTGTGTGTGTACATGTTCCATGGAGTGTGTGTGTGTACATGTTCCATGGAGTGTGTGTGTGTACATGTTCCATGGAGTGTGTGTGTGTACATGTTCCATGGAGTGTGTGTGTGTACATGTTCCATGGAGTGTGTGTGTGTACATGTTCCATGGAGTGTGTGTGTGTACATGTTCCATGGAGTGTGTGTGTGTACATGTTCCATGGAGTGTGTGTGTGTACATGTTCCATGGAGTGTGTGTGTGTACATGTTCCATGGAGTGTGTGTGTGTACATGTTCCATGGAGTGTGTGTGTGTACATGTTCCATGGAGTGTGTGTGTGTACATGTTCCATGGAGTGTGTGTGTGTACATGTTCCATGGAGTGTGTGTGTGTGTGTAGCATGGAGTGTGTGTGTGTGGATGTTCCATGGAGTGTGAATAACTGAGCCATAATGCCGTGTCCAACAACACCGTATCCTTCTTGTACGGGGGGAAATTGAGTTGTCAGGTCCGTGTGACGTGGAGTCGTTTCAATGACGGGCAAGAACGGAAATGTGATTTTTGGTCTTCTTGTTTGTGTTTCTCTCCTTGTGCTGGAACTTTGTAGGATAAACGATGAGATTTATGAGGGCACGGGGTGACCAATACGGTCTGAATTGGTCTGTAATACGGTAGGCACTGATAAGAGATTAACAGGTATGGTAGTGTAGTGTTATAGTGTAGTGGTGGTACAGTCTTATAGTGGTATAATAGTGCATATCAGCAAACCCATACGATTTACTCGAATTTTTGTACAGGGAAATTTAGTTTTCGGGTCCATACCTTGCAAAAATTGTGTTGTGTCTATTTGTGTTTCTCCCTTGTGATGGGACTTTGTAGGGTGAACGTTGAGATTTATAAGGGGCACGGGGTGACCAATAAGGTCTGAATTGGTCTGTAATAAGGAAGGCATTGATAAGGGGTTGACAGTTATGGGATTGTATGTTCAGTGTACGATGTACTGTTGTATAGTAAACTAAACTCAAAACTATATATTTACTTGGTAAGGCCCACTTGAGGTCCTATGTAGCTCTTTTTCAGCAGCGACTTGGCCACAAATGATAGCTAAACGAAGTGGCTTATCGCGTGGAAACTTAGAGAAGTCACACACTCCAAAGAATGTGTTGTTTATAGAGTGTATAGTGCATATACATACTTTAGTACCTTCAGTTTCTACTCTACAGTATATAGTAGTGTACTGAGTGAGTGTCCACATTGCAGTGTATGTCACATGGTGTGCACAGCAGTAGAGCACACTGTATATACATTCATGTATTACATTTGCATTGTATTATAGAACTTTTATTCATCGTCGTGCAAAAGTACTTAGTGTCGTTTGTTCTCTAACATAATGTTTTGTATAGTATAACACTATTGTATACTTAAGAATACACTATGTACAATACTGCACAGTACACTACTATAGTCATACACTGGTCTACTGTATTTGTGTATAACACTATTTTGCATAATGCATTGTAGTGTTTATACAGTATTGTGTGTGTAGTCCAGCATACTGTCTATTGTACAATACCGTATGCTGGGTTCAATGTATTGTGTATCTGTGCACTATTTACAGTCCACAATACGTGTACTTTGTTATACACAGCAAAATATATGGCGTACTGTGACAGATATACAACATAAACCACTGGATACTATCTACACGATACATATTAACGGGAGTGCACAATACCCTGCAGTATAGAGCGTATACTAAAGTAGTTTATTTTATATCCCGTATTGTGCACTCTATACACAACTCACGGTATTTGTACTACACAGTACAACATGCACTACACAGTACAACATGCACGATTTATAGAATATACACAACTTGCATCGAGTGACTGGCTCCTGGCCAGAGGAGTCTGGAAGTGACAGGAGCTCAGGGCTGTTAGGAGATCACCTTTCCGTTCATGCTCGTTTGAAACATAAACACGTTGCATTTGTAGCAGCTTTTAATCGAGGTCTTCGTCTAGCAGTGTATTGATCATGGATGATGATGGTAATACGCTATACTGCATTGCACTGTGTATTTGCTGTACAAGTGCAGTATTACGTACCATTGAAGGTGTGCAAACGGATTTTTGTGCGCAGTTTCTAACGTGTATAATAACGAATAAATAGTCCTGGAACTAACACTGCACACAAACAGTGTTTGTTATTTCGGTATACACACCACACGGACTAACTGAAACGATTGTTTATCGTCGTACACGTGGCAGCAACATGCATAGGCCAGTGGCCCTACCTTGGTGAAAAGGTTGTGCAATTATCCATACATTATTTGGTATATGCACAGGTCTAAAGTTTCATCTGTTTGACCTTTTAAAGTATTGTAATAACATTTGGGTTTCGGAGCCTGGGAAAGGTCAACCAGCCAGACTGTCAGCGAAACCTCAGAGGACTTGTGAATGATGAAAACGCATATTAATCCTACATTGATAAAATGTTATTTCTTTTGGAAAATTTTATTTAAAATAATCCTTAGTTTGAAAAATAAACTCCTTAATTTGGAGTGGTGATTTTTAGAATGTGTCCCAAGGAATGCGTTGGATTTATATAATATGCCAGCTGAAGTCATGGGTGTGGTTATTTGCACTTGCAAAGCAGATTTATCACGAAAATATGCACTTATGCAATATTCGATTTTCAAAATATATAAAAGTCACAAATTACAATTGTCTTATTGTGTGTGGTGCACGTTCTAGTAATGTTTATTTAGCGTTTTAAAAGGTTTCTGTTAAATTCAATCAAATTATTGTATAAAGCAGCAACGTGCAAAAACTACAGGCACTACTTTATAATTCACAAGTTGCATATCTGAATTTAAAGAGTTGGCACTTAACATTCTTAAACAATGATGTTTGTAGTTTTTTTTAATGCGGGTGATCTTGGTTATTCCCTTTGAGTGTTAAAATGCTATTGCAACATTCTTTGACGTGGTGCCCAATCGTATGCAAGCTTGGACAAACCACTGTTGTATTACAAGGATTTAGTATTAACAAGTACATTTGTGGTGGAATATATTTTTATGGCCATTGTACACAGCCATTATGTATTTTTGTGCATTGACAATATTTCAGATGATGAAAGATTGCTGGCTACTGCTGCCTTTGACATTACTGCCCCACGATGTAGTCATGCAGAGAGCTGTCACCCTACTCGGGTGTAATTCATTGACAGATAACAAGTTAATAACTGCCTACCGAGACAAATGGGACCTTGGGAAAATGTAAAATCTGCAGTGTAGCAAAGATGTCCATCAGAAGAGCTGTGGCGTTGCTGGAAGAGGCTCGCGTTGCCTGAATGGTTATGACTACAGAAGTACCCAAGTATTACACAGACAGACAAAAACACTTTATATTTCATGTGCTGCCTTACATTTTATATAGCCCGGAACATAGTAGCATGGCATTGTAAGAAAACATGTCCAGCAGAGCTGCATTCAAACCAACTCTATTTTCGTTAAAGATTACCGATCCATTGCACACGGGCGGTCCTTCAGAAACAAATGGCTGCCTGACTGATGCAGGGAATTAATCCTTGCAGAGGTCACGGAGAAGTCCGGTGAGGCACATTAATGAGCTCAGAGAATTTGCGCTGAGTCAACTTCGATCAATGGAGCTTCAGTGAGGGCTTCTGTGTGCCGCTTGCACTTTGCAAGGGTTGAATACTTTATTTCTTCATGCTTTCCTTTCCCTGCGGGATTTGGCAATTTTAACACAGACATTTGGTGTCCCTTGGCAATCATTGACAACAACGATGTGTTTGAATGCCTGGAAAATCTGAACTAGAATATCAAGTTCCAGCTTTATCACCACCACTGGGTCTCAGTGTGGTCACATTTTCATGGTTACTTGTGAAAATTAAGAAGACTCTGACGTTCATGCAATGCTGGGTGAGGCCAAGTTAAGTCGAAGATTGACTTATTCTGTGGTTAGACCATTAGGCGTGGCATCCCTTTTTAAGAACTGAAGTTGGCAGTACTTATTCTTATATAGTGTGACATCTACTTGATTGAATCATTATCATTACCTTCATGTCCTGTCTTGCAGCAAGGTCGCACTATTTAAGAGCCATTCGTGCAAAATATTGTATGCCCCTATCTACGTTTTTTTGTGCGAACATTGTATTTAATAACTCATGGTTAGACATTACCATGCCGATACATTATTACAGCAAGGAAGTGTAGCTGCTAGGCTTAAATAATTCTGCCTAATCTCGAGCTATGCGAGTAGAAGTTATTTGGCCCAGATATTTTTTTTACTTTTGGTAGTATACTTTATAGCATACTTGCTATTTTGCTCATATCCTTCAAAGTCGAGCAATAACTGTGTTTTAAAACGCAATGTGATAGGACTGAGGAAAATTAGCAATTCTTTGTTTTATGTGTAAACACAACTTATTCTTGCCAATGAGTTTGCCCCAATACTCAAATGAGCAATTGTCTTTACAGATACTGCTTCTACTCTCATCTTCTTATACTGGTAGGAACCTCCTGGTTACACCACCAGCCCTCAGGGGATTATTGTGTCCGTCCGTCGTGCATCCAAAAATGGGAGGGGCGGGGCTGGGTGGGGAGGGGGTGGGTAGGGAGGGAGGGGCTGGGTGGAGAGGGAGGGGCTGGGTGGAGAGGGGAGGGTGGGGAGGGGCTGGGTGGGGAGGGGCGGGTGGGGAGGGGCTGGGTGGGGAGGGTGGGGAGGGGGAGGAGGGGCTGGTCACCCCGTGGTGCCCTTATAAAACTCAACGTTTAACCTACTCACGCCGGCTTGTGCCCGCCCTCACAGTCGGGCATATTTGCGGAATACACCACGTGGTGCCGCCGTTGACCCTGGCCATTGACCGAGCAACCCAACGTTCTTACCAGCTCCCTCCGCAGGAATGTGTTTTCAGCGCATTGTCACTGGAAAAAAGGTTTCAGCCATAGTGCTGCTAGAACATTAATGTAACAATTAGCATTGCCTATGGCCGCTGGGTTAAAAATAATAGGATAGGGCAACTGAAAACCGCAATAACTGTCAGGCATCCTTCAGCCTGTGGGTTTGGTGCTGTTATGGCACTGGGATGTTTGACATGATATTCCTTGGACAGATATTACTTTGTTTTGTTTAAGCTGCAGGCAAACATCCCAAAGCAAAGGGAGATTATGAACAAAAGTAAAAATTGTATTTAGCTTTATTTTTTATTTAGTTATGTACTATTTTTTTCCTTTTTTTATTTACAAATTTGCTTATTACCGGGAAGGTCAGTTTAACATGTAGGCTTTTATTTTGGCTTGGCTCTCCAACACACCGGTGTGCTGTACTAGTGACGAATTGGCACGTTCTGTTTACGTTGAATAACCCTTACTAGTTGGCTGTGTCGGGTGGTGGTGGGTTTTAACGACACATTTATTTACGCGATCTAACCCAAAAACTCCTCTATTATACCAGGAAGGTGTTTGAGTCGTTGTCGGGGCTGTAATATTACCTATGTGTTCCTCCATTTAGAGAGGGTGTAAAGTTAGCCCATTCTCACTGGCGTTCAGGGATTTGCATTTTACAATACCGTAGTCTCGTAAATGTTTTGTTACATGTGACTGCATTCTTTTTTCAAAGTCCACTACAATCTTGGCCTTTATGTACGAGGCCAAGTGTTTTACAAACAGCATTACATAAATGCATCACTGCCTGCACAAATCACTTTTTATATGTATGGTATTGTATTGATCTTCTTGGTTCTTTTGGTAAAGTCACGTAGAATGAGAATAAAACAATAAAATAAAATAAAACAATAACATTCTCACGACGTTTTGGCCACAACACAAGTAGCCTTCTTCAGGTGAAGGAACAGTGCTGTCGTCCCGACAGTTCTGTTCCTTGCTGTCGTCCCGACAGTTCTGTTCCTTCACCTGAAGAAGGCTACTTGTTGATTTAAAGCTTTCGTGACTGCAGTAATTCATATTCTTAGTTTTTTCGGTAAAGTCACGTTGACTTTACCGAAAAAACTAAGAATATGAATAAGGCTACTTGTGTTGTGGCCGAAACGTCGTGATAATTTTATTGTTTTCTCATTCTACGTGACTTTATCAAAAGAACCAAGAAGATGAATCCTTGCAGTCACGAAAGCTTTAAATCGAAAGGTATTGTATTGGTTTTGACATTTATATATAACAATGTGTAATCTTCACAAGCATATGTTTACTTCAGTCAATTATGTTATGAATTAACTTTTGTATTTTTTTGTTATGTCAATAAATGCACATTGGTATTTTTACAGACGTAAACATTCTGAAATAATATTTTTGTATGGTAACATGGCCTAGCAGTAATCTGTTCGCAGCCTGTTTAGAGGTTCACGGTTGAAACCTAGCGGCCGCCCAAATTATTACTGCGGATGTTAAAGCCATACGCGACAGTATCCTTCAGAGTGGATGTTAAAGATCACCTGATGTCAGTCGCAAAAAACTAGGCCATTTTGTGCTGGCATCATGGCCCAAATTTTAAATATTACTTTCAAATTACTCAATTGGGATTATACATAGCCATGATCTCCCCTTACTGGCAGACTGATACCCCAGCTTACTCTGGCAAATTAAACTATCCTGGGTATCTTGAATTCTTACCTGGTTAAACAAAATAAACTTGACACTCCTGGATAAGTGTTGTCTTGTCACTGGGCAGTTGCACAATTTTGCATGTATCTTTCAGATACTTGAAATATGGGATTATTCACAAGTATAAACATGGCCATAGTAAGTCAACCAAATAGGACTGTCATTCATTTTTTAATATTTTATCCACCTTTAGTGATAAGGAAGAAATGCTTATAGAATACCAGTGCCAGCCCTTCTCAGATGAGGTTAAATATTTGTACTGGGATCATGATTCAGTTGTGTAAATTAAACTGGGGGTTTCCAGCACGGTTTTATATGTATGGGTGAAAGAAGTTCAACATGCATGTAGGCCATTTTTCTAAAAAAATTAATAACTACTTTAAAATGACACCTCATATTAGGATACTTTTTTACATTGTGACTGTAAAATTGCCTAATTTGTGAAATGGTATAGCTATGCATAATCTATAATACGAACTAGAAGAGGGAAAACTTAAAAAGAGAATCTTGAATAAGAGAGAAATAGCCGAGTATTTGTAAAGGTTAAATTTTATAGATAAAACAAATCCTTAACGGCAAAGGTCTCTTTTGAGCAGCAAGTTAAAGACCTTTCAATAACCGCACTGCCATGCATTTTTAATCGTGCACGGGCCTGTAATGTTCAGTTCACTTCGTCTCATGTGATGTGCAGCAGTGAAGCCCCGTGGCTTCGGCCTGCTTTCATGTTCGTTTCCGTCTGGCTTCAATAATGCATGCCGCCAATGATTATGGGAAGGCGTGGGGTGTTTGTATAGATTAGATAACCTTGGCTCCTCAGTGGGGACGATGGCCTCCCTTGGTGGGTTGTGTTTTGTAGTTTAAATTACAGCTGATTGAACGCATTTGTTGTTACATGCACAATTGCATAGGTGGTTTGTGTTAATATTATTCAACAGCTTCACCACAATTGGAGGTCACACTGCTTATGTCATAATGTTGCACTGTATTAAATGTCAGTCGATGCGATTTTACTTCATGTTTGATACAAGCATACACAATACGTTATTTTGTATAATTTGTTCTAGCAGTGGCATATGAATGTGCTATGTATTTGTATATGCAGCTAGTCAAGAGTGTGTATCGACTTTAAGAATGCTGCCCTTTGTCTTGAACAACAGGAGGAAGAGATGCCTGAACTGGAGATAGACATTGACCAGCTGCTGGATATGAACACGGATGAGGAGAGAGCTGAGCAGTTACGGGTGAGTGCACGTTAATGCAAAATGCTGTCTCAAGAGGTGAACTCGCTGCTCATGTAGAGGGAGCTTCTGAGAGCCCCTGTTTAGGGTATTTTGGCCTACTTCTACATTGGCAAGACGTCTTGAAAGAGGTGTGAGTACCAACATACTACACCACCACTACATTAACGGTAATGCAACCATTGCACTGGCAACCTGGATTACAAGTCCAGTTTGATAACCATTACACCGTAGAATAAGCATCTGCACTTGATGGGATGCCTCCAGAAAAAATTGCCATTGCTTGTACCAAGAGAAGTGACGAGGCAGGACCTTGACTTGGAATGTCAGGTTTACTAAAAACAGGTATCCTGTATTTTAATTTTATTTGCAGTGCTTTTGAGTATCCCTTTGGATATGATTAATGTCTTTAACATGTGTGCATATGTTTCTCAGGCACATTAAAATGCAGCAGGGTTATTTGCCTCCTGTAAAGCTGTCATACACTAATACAGCCATGTGACTGTCTCTACAGGAGATTTTACAAGAATGTTGCAGCAGTTCAGAGGTAAGCCGGTGCTAAGTTTAATCCAGAGAGAGTTAAATAAATTACCTTGTAGAACACATACAGTGAAGCAGAACCACAAGCCTGCAATCTGGAGAGATTTATTGGTCCCATTATTTACTGTGCAGCATGAGACGTATAATAACCAAAATTTACATTGTCCTAAAATGCCTTTAGTATAGGTGAGTAAGTGGGCAGTGGGTTTATATCCATGTCAAGTTGCTGAGCTCTTTTCTTCAAACTTCAGAATGTACCCTGGAGTAATAAAGGTTATGCGTAACGTACTCTTTGGTTCTATTCGGTAAAGTCACGTAGGTCAAAAAAGTAAAACAACAAAAATCACGACGTTTCAGCCACAACACAAGTGGCCTTCTTCAGGTGAAGGAACGGAACTGTCGGGACGACAGCAAAGTCTCAATTTGGTCACGGATTGCTTGGCAATAAACAAATCTAAAATTAGCAATGCCTTTTGTAAAGGTGGGTGAAAAAAACATTTTCGTACGCAGAGCGAAAGGTCCATTTAAAGGTCAGGTAAGAAGAGGGTGCTGTGGTGAATTTGTTGACTGATGCACTGTAGTGTCTTTGTCACATTTTCACAACAAATGCGAACTTGTCTCAGCTGGCCTAGAGCTGGCCCAATCTTGTGTCCCCAATTTCCACGAGTCAAAAGTTTCCATGGGTTTGGCCAATCCTGCTTCCGTGCCCTTGCCTGCTTTCTCCTCGTGCTCTGCAAATCGGGGAACGATCTTTAAATATAACATTTCTCCAGAAACCCCTAGGGCGTTATTGCCGGACCGGTGTGCGTACCAAACATTAAAACATTAAAACGAAGTAAATTTTAAAAAATATTTACACATTTCAACACTCAGTCGCTAGGATAGACTAATTTGAGCTCAAATGTATCGCATTTGTAATATTCCTCGTATTTTAACGACTAATCTGGACGTAATGTGGAACATTGTGAGTGATGCCATTTATGGTTCTCGGGTTGGCGGAGTCCTTAAGAATGTGGCACAGAATAAAGACATGAGCCTGGGGTCTTGGGTCTGTGATTGGTTCAGCTGGGCCAGGCTGCCATAAAAACACTCGTTCACTCGCATAGAGCCCGCATAGTTTCCTCTGGCTGTGAATCATTAAAACATTTGATTCGTTCGTTGCTAGGCCATGGCTGTACTGTCACTAGAGTTTGCATGGGTTGAGTAGATTGCAATTCTGTTGTGTAAGGTACACCAGGCAGCTCATTTACAACACAGAAATAATCTAGATATGAAGCTTTCGTGACTGCAGGGATCCAATTTTTATTTATTTTATACCTACGTGACTTTACCGAAAGAACCAAAGAGTATGGAACACAGAAATAAACCTGACATTTGTATTTGTCTGTGTGCTCGTGCAGGAATTTGTTTTGGAGCTGCTGTCCAGAATAAAAGGCATGAAAAAACTGAGTACTAACAAAAAATAAAGACCTGGCTCTTGGCCGTGCAGTGGAACAAACTACTCCTCTCCATGGTGGCCACCTGTATAAAAATATGCTCACAAATTTGTATTTAAAGAGAAAAGACAAACAAAAAAACCCCTAAATTGGATATTTAAAAAAATCACGGCAAACTTTGGTACACTTTGAGAGCAGATATTATTTTGCACACTGCTAGCCATGAAGGCACATTTGTAGTAAAGTAGTTTGAAGATACACTCCAGGAATATATCGTGTGCGAGTTAAGTTTATTGGCATTTGCAACTTTTAAAGGCACATGCCTTCCACGATCGCAATAGTGAAGTTTTTGGAAAATGTTCCTTATGGTTCATTAAAGCGTAAGACGTGTGCATTTTTTTACCATCATGGCGTAACTTTTTTACATTCATGTTTGACGGTGGCATTTGAATGTTCAGTCATTACACTGTTACCTTTAATGTTGCAGCTTATTCTCATTCAGTGGAAGTTTGTAAAACCTATGCGTTTTTGTTTTCATGTATCCACACACATGGAGATTGTACAGTTTTTTTACATGTGTGGGGGTCTGTGTGTATAGTGTAGTTTAATGCTTGGATTATGAGCTGCTACATACACTCATCCTTGGGATTTTAAGCAAAATAATGCAGTATATACACGTGTATACAAACAAATATGACATCCTTCTGTTTTGCTGTTGTTGTTGGTGGCTTTATTTTTTTATGCTTCGATTCAGTTTTTGCACGTGACAATGTTCATATTTCGATTTAAAGCTTTCGTGACTGCAAGGATTCATCTTCTTTGGTTCTTTCGATAAAGTCACGTCGTGAGAATTGGATTGTTTTATTTTATTATTTTATTCTCATTCTACGTGACTTTACCGAAAGAACCAAAGAAAATGTTCATATTTTTTGGCGATGGCATCCTTATTTTTTAAAACGTCCTTTATTGCATGCGATAAAGCTATGTAACTTGAAACTTTCATTATTATTTTTTTTGAACCTATCTCCGTGACTGAAAGACCCAAGAATTCTAAAAGAATAGTTAATCCCCTAAGCACATTATTTGCAGTGTAAACAGTTGTTTGTCATCATCGTGTCATGTACCACAGCATGAACATTTTTTTATACCACTTTTTTAAGTGCACACACATTGGGAAATGTGTATTTTGTTACACACAGTCAAGCACTGGCTTTCAACATTAGGGGATTTTGTGTTTTTTTTTGTACTGTATATTGTGTTTTCATTGTACATTGTTACACACAACAAACATCGTAAATGTAATTTCGGTGCTTGTTGAGATGGCCTTCCATGCCTGAAACGAGAATACTAGGTTAAATGGCGTGCTTGTGCCTACTTCACCGATTGGTTAGTAGATTTATTGGCACTTGTGTTTTATGTCGTCTTGAATTTTTTGCATGTCCTATAACCGATTTAGTCGATGAAATCCGGTTGGCTTGTTGCGCTTGCAAGAAAGCTTGCAAGAAAACTGTTAAAGCTGACTGCCAATAATTGTATTGGTTCAATTATATTTTACACTTTTGCTTTTAAACAAAAATGATTCCTTTCAGTATTAATACTGATACTGTCCGAGTAATAAATGAGGAGTTTCCACTTACAACCATCTGCAGTGCCGTTGGAAGGTGTTGTGAATGTATACGGTTATAAAACATGCACATACATTTTTTAATGTGAATACTGGCATATTGGTCTTATGTCCTTAACGTGTTTTTACTATAATTTTGGCACGACACTTTCATGACACTTAAACCAAATGCAATAATTTCTGCATTCTGGAATGTAAAGTTGTGTCAGCATGGTGGCTTCCTTAAGTTACTGCTATTTACGTGACGCTGTCAGCATTGACACTCGGCAGTTTCAACTCTCTCCGATTGTGCCACTCGCCCATTTTACAGATCATCTCTTACTTGCATGACATCACTAACATATCATTAGACCTCCTTTGCCAGTACCAAATTATAATAATAGGCGTACGTCATCTGGCCGAGCACCAATTGGGTCGAGGCTCAAAAGAAAGCCGCCCCTTGGTGTGAACCAATCAGTTTCAAGGACAATGCCACATATTATCAAAGTATGTTTTTTGTTTGCATTTAGACTGCAGGTATTGTGGTTAATGCACACATGAATCCTTGTAAAAATGTTGCAGTTTTGTTGCCAGAAAAAAAGGGGAAAACCCTATTATTATGATTAACATACACAAACTGTCAACGTTCGCATGCACGATTCGTGATCCAAACTTGTGAAAATCGTTTAAACAACATGTGACAGCTGTCTGGAAGAGAAAGGAAGGTCCCCCCCCCCCCCATTTGGCGTGTGAAGAACGATGACAGCGGTACTGCTCTTGCCTTGGGGTGGTAGTTTGTGATTTTATTATTTGTGCCCTGTGGACACAGGATGGAAGTGATGATCTTTCTGTTGCAGTGGAAATACTTTTAGATTTATTATGGTGATGTTACAGGGTTAGTGTGAATCAACCACTTGCTTTAATCGCCATTGTCATCGGTATCTGTACATAAAAGTACACCAGAGGTTGCAATTAACATGCGAAGATCATCAGACTCTTTTTAGAGTCGGTGTGCATAATGTCAATTCACCCACATTTTATAATTTTAACACATTGCATTAAGTGATTACAATCACTAAAACAGTGATTAGACACGTGGCCGGTTATATTGAATTTCAAGCACTTATCAATAAAATATATTGTCTCTGTGTGAGTGGATATCTACAGCCCCTCTACAGATTCACTCCGTTTTCTGTCAGTGGGTGTCGGCTTCCGATACATTTTAAGCCTGCGGTATTGAAATGTCAGATATGATTTAGAAACAAGCAACTACTCTAAAGGTCTGTAAATCAAACTGCATTAACAAGATAAGCTTGGTAAAAAAAGTATTTGGCCTTGATAAAACAAAATGTACAATAATTCATTCAAATGTGTTTTCTTGCTTGCAAAGATTAATCTTGTGATTGAGATTACGGTTGGTTTTGAATATTAAGCACAGCTTATTTTGTGCTCAAAGGTGTTTTCTATAACGTTTTATGGCACACATCAATATTTTATTATCTGCAAGTGAATGTAAGTGTCTTAATTTTCCACAGACAATTATGTGACTGAACGATAATGTATACTCTTTGTTATTGTTATCAATGGGGAATGTCACCATTAATTTCTTCTAATCAAATACCATTTTTTAAAGGTGTGCAAGTTTGTATACTGTGGTATTTTCCACTCGTATCATACAAAGGTGTAGCTTCGTGTCTTTTGTTATAAACAAATAAGCTAAGTGGTGTGGTCTGGTCTGGTGGAAAATTACATATTTGCTTCTGTATGTATAATGGGAATGCGCTTTTGTTTGTTTATCCAAAACAATTTAAATCTAAATGCACACACGTTAAGTATATTTGCCGTCTTTGGTATTGCAGTGTTTTCATGTTACCGATGTACGTTGGGTCACGTGCTGTTATTTAATGTCTGTGTACATACGAGTGGACTCTAAATAAAGCACCTTCAAAGCACATTGGTCAACACCTTGATTTATTAATCAAAACTACGGGTCACTTTCATTTGTTTTTGTAACATTTCACTGGTGTCTTGTTTTTTCTGGTATGCGTGTGCCCATATTTGTGCTGTACATTATACACAAATGCAATCCACAGCCTTCTCTGTTCACTTTTCCGACTTGGAGATTTCCACTCATGTCTGCCATCCCAGAATTGAAGGGCTTGAAGCGTTCACTTGTCTCGGCTTATATGAAAGCCATTCAGAAGGTCACCCATGTCCCACCTAATTGCTGTGCTTCTTATTTGATCTACCAACAACGACTGCATGGCAAGCTTTGTAAAACACCTGAGCCAGCCTTTTGTGACTTTCATTTTTGAATTGTTTTATTATTTTGTATGACGTATTTTTAAACTGTAATAACATCAATCCCCTGAGTAGGAGGCTGATGGTGTTTTGTATGTTGCTTTTATAACTAGCGATCCATCCTCCAGCCCTTACAATACATTTTTCTTGAGGTAGCCGAGTGTAGCCGGGCTACTCTGTGGGGGCTGAGCTGGCATCGCTAAGGTCCTGGGTTAAAATCCAGGCAGCCACCCATGCTGAAACAGTTATTGTGCCTTGTGAGTGGATGGTCACAGGCCCAGTCAAAATATAACTACATAAAACACTCAATCTTATAACATTTGGGTCTGCACTATTTTCACGCTGAGACGTATGGAATAATTCAAATAGGGCAATTGGAATACATTGAGAAAAAAAAAAAACATGGGTGTAAATTTAATTTGTATAGTTTGTAAACTAAAAAGAGACTTGGTAGAATTTAATGTATGTACCGTATTGTGGGAATCATTGCACCTCCAATATATATTGTATATACACCATAGATATTTGGGTTTTTTTCTACAAAATAATTTTCGAGAACTGACATTCAAATATATTTATGGTTTTAATGAAATTTGTAAAAATACACTGAGAATGTATAAATAATACATTTTATTTTCATAGCAGTTGTATTTTAACGAGGAAAATTTGAAATGTACCTCGCACTAAAGCCATTTTATGATCGTCTTTCACTGGTCTCTGATTTGCTAATTTTGGTTAAAAAAATCACCTATATTACCAATTTCTGTACAGTATTTAAACATTGATTTAGGGGCAGCATAAAACCACACTATAATCACGTAAATTATAGATGCACTACACATCTTAATATATTTAATCCACATTAAAATGCACGGTGTAATTGTGGCCGCTATTTTTTTTTCAAATCTAATAAGCCGTGGGTTAGGATAGATAAATCACAATAAATCAGTAGGGCATGCATTATATAGGGCAAGAATGGGCAGGAGTATAAATGTATAGTGTGTGGATTGTGCGTACATCAAACAGCTCTCTCCAGCTGACCTTGGCTTGCATTGGGACTTTCATTTCAACTTAGCTGCCAATGCTCATACATTAATAATACACGCCGAAAGGAACCGACATAAGGCACACAAGCCATTCTTGTGCCAGGTGCTGCCTACTCTACATTTTCCACAACGCGCTGCAATATAACGTCATGCACGTTTTGTTCGTGGTTTTCCTCCAGTGGAGATGAAAGCGTGATTCAATTTGCCACTGTGCCCACTGAGGTTCCAGACAAAGGCATCATTGCATTTTCCAGGAAGTAAAAAATCACATAGAATGGATAAACATTTTAATGGCTTACTTTGGTACAGTACAATATCGCATATCTGACTGGGGACTGAGCTATAGGTGGATATACTAAAAGGTTCAATGTGACCGTCTATAGAAAATGACGGTGCACAAACATTGCCCTGGGTGTGGGTGGTCACTTGGTAATGGCAGTTATGAAATGTCGTAAATGTGGCATTGTGTATGCTTTAGGTTAGACTCATCCATAATTTTTATTCACTGCTATATGGTCTTATGACTGTTGTAAGATTACTGTGGTCACGGATTGAAGATTAGCAAAGGCGCAATTTCTCATTTATTTAGCTACAGAAGCAGGGACATTTGCTAATCATTTCAGTACTATAATAGATGCATTAATTGGCACGTTATTTTATTTAACAGGAACGTTGATCACATTTACAATCGCACTATGGACAGCTGTGGATTGCACAGTTGAAATAGAATTTCAATCCTAATTATATATTTGCATGTACTATTGCTCGTCTGTCGCGTATAGAAATGCGGCACAAACTCGTTTTTAATTGGTCGCTATGAACCCGGTAATCTTACGTGCAAGTGACTCATGCAGGTGTCACATGGATAATACAATGGATTTAGAACAAGTACCTCATGTCTGATGTTTAATGCCCTGAGCCTGGGCGCATTGCTCCAGCCCAAGCTTGGTATGTGCAACACATTTTAAAATATTTTTTTTGTTTGGGAGGTGTAAATAACATTATGTGTGTATATCGGGGTTATTACGCCATTCAATAGTCTCTGTGGCGTTTTGGTGGATTTTTGGAGCTATTAAGATGTTTTGTATTGGGTGTAGCTACGAAATATTGCAGTAATTAAAAATGAAATCACTTACTGTGCAAAGCCCAGCAACAATCAGCATTAAAAAAGAAACATATCAAAGTTCATATGTTTCTTGACTTGAGCGAGACCATACGAACTTGGGGAAAAATACCAGGAGAGGGATTCCAAAGTCGAGCAGTGCGAGGGCAGAAGCAGAGAGAAAAGTGTTTTGGACCCGCAGTGTGGTGGTTAAAAACTGTGGACGAGATGACACAAGTCAATCGGGTAGGCGGACACCTAGGCGTGCCTTGAGTCGGTGAGTGAAGTTCACGAGAGGAGTCACCATGGTAGTCGTCGCGAGAGAAGAGTAATCAGGAGGTGACTTACTGCTGCTGACTGGAGTGACTTGGTGAGTGCCGGACCGTAAATGAACATGACTGATTCACATTGAATTCGAACAACAATGGTGAGGTCGGAACTGGGTGCTCCAGTACTGCAGCATTACGACTTTGTGGTGCGTTGTATAGGAGTAGAACTTTGTTCAGAGTTAAATAAGTAATATATAACGGGTGATAAAATACTCGAATTTACACTAAATTTACTACTGGTGAAAAATAATGAACACAACATGGGGCAGATATAAAGAAACGCATTATTCACTAACACTTCCTCATAGCATTGAACATAAGCTGCCATTTTGGGTTATAGCCTAATTTCAGAGTTGTGCAAGCGCATAAGGGCTGCCTCGAGCCATAAGTCATTGAGCCCTTCTAAAAACCCTTGTATGATAGTCTGCTCATGAGGTCGCGTTAATTACAAACGTCCTAAGGTTTTTTTTAATCATCTGCTCATGCACCACTACAATTGCAGCCTGTTCATTTTTATTATCTTATTGAAGCAGTCAGGAATGGATGCCTCAGCCTTAAACTCAAGACACCTTTTTACATTTACGTGAGTGGTTTCTAAAAATGTTCAGACTTGCAAGAATGTGTGCATATCTGAGCTGACCAGCTTTGTGCAAAAATACATCCCCAAAGCCCTCATACACTGCACCATTTGTATTCCAGAACATGAGACCCATTGTCTGGTATGTACGACACAGTACAGATGAAAACACTTGAGTCTGGTTTCTAAAACGGTGTAAGAGACTATCATTCAATCATGATGCTGCATTGTCAGAGATGCACAAATAACAAAAACAAACGCAACACATTTGGTCAATAACACTGGCTAAAGAAATGAAAGATATACAATGGGCGACGTGATAACCATCGGTCCAATTTATGTTACGTGTGCTGTACGATATTGTATTATCGGCAGTGCCACTGACAAATGTGTCCAGTTTCTCCGTAATCAATTGTGAAAGTGGGCTTCCCGTTCAAGTGTTCACTATGGCTCTAGGAGGTTGGTAGTGATTATCATTCTGGTTCTAACCCATAAAATCCCATGTACTGCATGGGGTCAGCCGCTCAGATTTACTTTCCCCATGCGCTTCAATGTTGTGCCTCCTTTCTCGGTCACATCCGCTGTACTCGAATCTCATTCCAACTCATCCGTTCATCACCATCTCGGTCTCGCTCAACTCCTTTTGCAAGGCACTTGTAGCGCTCATGATAACTTTTAAGACCATATTCTTCATTGGCAAAATATATAAGCAGACACTGTCTCCTTCATATGTTATTCTTTACACATTCCCATGGGCCCCACACCCTTCTGACCTCGAATACTTTTTTTTAGCAGCATTGATTCAGTCTAAGCAAGCTCTGGACTAGTTCTGACATCCAGTGTCGCGTCAGTAGTCAGACTTGCTTCAATCAATGCTGGCGACAATGCCACGTGTGAAAGGGCAAGGATCCTCTCGTGGGATGAAAACAAAGCGGTGGTGATAATCTCCTTCCCTTCAGGCACCACCGTCAATCGTTTATGATTAACCCATTCATCGAACAGGCACAATATATTATCGAATTATGACATTTGATTTTGTTGCCCATGAACAAATCACCCACAGTGTGCCCAATAGCATCGGATTTTGGAAGCTTTCGCACGGGCTAATCCTGGATGATGAGTAGAAAGGCAAGCACCATCCATGCATAGAAGATGTTGTCAAAGATACGCCACTGCGACTGTGGCCATGCAACCCAAACTATGGACCATATAGCAAAACGAGACGCACACTCTGCTGAAGCCCTCTCATGGCGAGCAGACATTGGCATGTATCTCCTGAACGTATTGCCACACGCAAGAATAGAACCATACGTTTCAGTGCTACAATTCAGTCACAACACGATGCTTCCTTACTATGCTTACTGCCTTCACAAACCCACACTGGCTAGTGTGGTGAAGTATGGTCAAATAAGCTCCCCAAGCCTGCAGTGGACACATGGCTGTATATACAGTATGCTCTTCATGTACACGTGAGTATTGTGTCAGCTTGAATGCCGGACTTAAATAATAATTGAATTTTAGTTGGGCCGCTGACAGTTCGAGCAAATTTGCATCGTTTGAATGCGATTTAGCTGTGGGTACAATCGTGTCAGAGTGCCC